ATTATAGTGGGACTTTAGTCATACTTATCCAGTGTAGTCAGAAACTGCTAGACTTCATGTATGATAAAATAATCTGATCTATATATTATGAGAACAAGTTTATTTATCTGGCAGAATAAAAATTTTATATTATTATATTTGTTTTTATTCTGGCATTAATCACAAAGCTTATTAAAAAAAGTTATAACTTATTCAATTATTTTAAATCGCATCAGCTGATATCAGACATTACGCTTATACAGGGTCATTGGCCAATGAGTCATTCTTAATATAATGAATCGTCATGATGATAAGTTCACCTTTTACTTTCTGGACGAGGGTCCTTATCCGCATCCAGACACCCTTCGTATACACACTTTCATTTAGTTCATCGAACTTACTTTCACCGCCGGCTTACATGTCTATTGTACTCATGATCTCTTCGGAATGCACTCCCATCATACTTCATACTTCGACAAAGTATTATGATAATACTCTCATTAATATATGCAGTAATATCCACCTTTATTGGTTCGATGTGCTACTATTGAAAAAGCTGGTCAAATAACAAGAAACTAAATACTTTCGAATTGTTATATGAGTATACTAATATTATAAAGAGGGAAGATTTGATTGTTGAGAAAAATTATTTCACCTACGGGATACTACATCTTCCGCGAGTGACATTGGCTATAAATTTTTAGCATTATAAAACATTTAAAGGTAAGAAAACTTGATAAAGTAGATTTTTTGTAAATAAATAGTCATAAATACGAGATATGTACTTAATAATTAAATGAACCGCCATTAAAGTTAATCAAATTGTTCCTTATAAGTAAATAACAGTTTCCATTATTCAAGCACTGTTAAGAAGCGTACAGTTTTCTTTGGAGAAATTCGTTTGCGACACGCAACATTTTAGAGTCCAGCTGAGAATTTACTTTCAATCTTTGATTTATTTACTATCAATACAGTACTATACTATTTTAATTTATGTATTTTTTCTATAAACTTGTGTTTCTGTTAATTATCATGAACTTAATTATAATGCGTTAATTGAACCTGAACGATAAACTTTCGTTCTGATAGTGCTGAAGGTTAAACAGGATAATCGGAATGGGATTTACAATTATAAATAACTGCTGTAACTATATACTGGTACACTTAAACGTTATCAGTAGGTAATTAAAATATTACACGGACATATGTTTGGAATATAATTTTCACACAAATCATAAATACTTACATATGCAGCCATATATGGGTAATTCTCACGAAATTCCGAAATTCTTGTCCTTTCAGATTATATAAAAATCCAACAAAGAAATGGATGTTACTAATATTTTTATACAATCCACATAACTCTATCTAAAAGTATCACATAAGATTTTAGAGCCGCATAAATAAATAAATTAAAATGCATAACCATAATGTATCTAATATCATTACCTCACTATGTCCCATGTACCAATTTTATTTACTTTTATTTACCAAAAACGTACAAAAATCATTCGAATCATATTCAAGCAAGTCGGATTTTTTTTCAAATATTATAAATTTATGGAAAAAATCGATATTAGCGTCATAAAGTAAAAGACGCGTTAAAAATTTGAATATTTATATGTGTCTCATAAAAATAAATAATTCCCTCACACTATTACCGACAGTTGAATTACTAACACATTTTAAATAAAATACGAACACTACCATTCGTTTCTGAAAGTTGGCACTAATGTTAATATGTCAAACTGGCGTATTTTCTGTGATTGTGTTCGGGTGTGCGCTGCGAAAAGGTTTTATTAATTATATGGTTAAATTAAATTTTTGATCGTCATTTCATCACATTCTAAAAAACAAAAAGTAAGTACTTAAATTGGTTATAAGTTGCACAGATAAAATGGCTTTTGGGAGTAATTTCCTTAAGCAAAAAAATCGTTTTAAAAGTAAGGTTATGTCACGAGTCCTTAACAGTTATTCTTTATTTCATCATTCCCTCACCATCATTCCCACATAAAAATTTATGGTGAGGGAATGATGATATATGAGGAAATGATTTTTGGGTAGGCTGACTGGCTTTTTTATTGTTTGCTTTTATTTATTGTCGTTTATTTATGATTGTTTATTGTTGCAATATTGTTGCAGGTTAAAAATGTCAAGAAAAAAGAAGATATGCAAAGATGAAACTAAATTAAAAAAGCAAGAATATGACCGAAAGCGCAGGCAAAAAATGAAAGCTGATCCTGTAACACTTGGAATACTTCGTGAAAAAGAAAGAATTAAATACCTAAATAAAAAAGAAAAAGGTCAAGTAAAACCTATATCCGCAATGAGTTCTCGAGAAAGAAGGCAAAAAAGAAAAAACTGGAAGAAAAATAGCCAAACATATAGAGACAAATCAGTGAAGGTGCGAAAAAATTTAGCAAGACTGTTAGATGAGACACCACCTCCTAGCCCAGGACCTATCCAAAATAATGATGATTTAAGAAATCTGACAGTTAATCGGAGAAGGCAGCACCTAAGAAGACGTAGAGGACTACTTTATGCAAAAATATCCAGATTACAGGAAAGACTGAAACAAGCAATAAGAAGAAAAGAGAAATACCGTAAGAGATGTCAAAGACAAAACAAAAATAATCAGACTTCACCGGAAGCCAAAGTATCAGCTCTCTTAAAGAACGTCCGAGTTCCTAAAATTGTGAAGAAGAAGATTCTTCTATCAACTAAACAGCTAAAAGACAGGATAGCACACCAGTATCAGACCATATCAGAACTTAAAAAGACTTTAGCTTACAATGAAGTCCTTATTCACATAGATTTTAGCGAAAACTATTGTTGCAAATTTAACGAAGAGATCCAGGCAGTACATTTTGGAGGTGCAAGACAACAAGTTACACTACATACAGGAGTATTATATTTACGTGAAAATGACACTGTAAAATCCTACACGTTTTGTTCTCTTTCTGATAATAATAGACACGATACAATGGCAGTATGGGCACACCTATTACCAGTTTTTGAGTGGCTTAAAAATCACAATCCAAATATTCACAGAATACACATGCTAAGTGATAGTCCTGTCAACCAGTACAAGAACAAGTTCATGTTTCATCTAGTATATCATCATATAAATGATTTGTTTCTGGGTGCGACATTTTTTGCGTGGAATTATTCAGAACCAGGCCATGGCAAAGGTGCTCCTGATGGCGTAGGTGGCACATTAAAAAGAACAGCTGATAAAGCGGTGGCTGAAGGCAAGGACATCGTAAATCTGAAATCTCTCAAAGAAATTTTGTTGACAAGATGTTCTTCAATAAAGCTATTTGAAGTTACCACTGCTAATATTGCGAAAATAGAAGACTTAGTCAAACAGTCAACCATCATTGCTGCATTTCGTGGCACTCAGAAAATTCGTCAATTTGTCTTCAGTAATAATGCCTTGGAATTTAGAAGTCTTTCATGTTGTCAATGCGCAGAAAAGTGTAAACATTTTCACATGGGATTTTATAAATCTACAAAAGGTTGCATTGAAAAACCAAGGTCCATTGAATTAAAAACACGAAATAAAGCTTATCATGATGGACATTCATCAAATGATATTACGAGTATTTGTACGGACACTAATATTACTTATAATATTGGTGATTATGTACTTATCAAATGGGACGAAAATATTTACCCAGGCGAAATAATATCAGTTTCTGAGGAAGGTGCTTTAGTAAAGTGTATGAAAAGAGGAACTAAGTCTTGGAAATGGCCTAAAATCCGAGATGAACAGTTATATGCCTGGAATGACATTCTAAAGAAGATTAAGCCCCCAAAATTAATCAAGAAGGGTTGTTATTTTATAAAAGATTTAAACTAGTTTAAAATGTCTGATTAAGATTTAATTGTAACTTTGAGACTGAATCATTTAAGATTATAAATTTTAAGAATTATTTTTTGTAAGGAAAAAAGCCAATTAAGTATATATGTTGTTTTGATACTAAAGATTTAAAAAGGAATTTTTTTTTTTTGTTAAAATGCTGTTAGATAAATCTTTAAGTCAGCAAGGATTTTTTTGTCATTGTTATTTAATCAAGTGCAATAATAAATAAAAATAACTTTAAATTTGAGTTATGCCAAAGTGCTGGAATAATTTTGTGATTTGCTGGAATTACTCATTGATTTAACTTATTGTTTACAAACAAAATTGCATTGAATAAAAAGTTTTCTTTGAAAAAAAGAACTAATTTCATTAAAAAGCTACATGACTTGTCTGCAATAATCATTCCCTCGCCTTAATTGTCATTCCCTCACTTTGATTATTTTTAATGTCCTCATAACTTTCATAAAACGTGATAATTTTTGGGACCACTACGTAATTTAATTCTAGTAACATTAGTACTATCAAATTCACATTAAAGATATATCAAATAACTTAAATATTTTTTGTCATTTTAAGATAGCCGAATTTCGGGATTTCGTGAAAATTACCCATATATTTTGTCAATTAAAGTTAAAAACAAATTTCGACAATGATTGTTTATGCTTGTATGCATAGTAAACATTATACCTTAATACAATTTGTCAGTTTCATCTTATTTTTATCCACTTTACAATTATATAACAATTAGATGTTTTTTTATTTAATCGGTTCAACAAATTTAATCGGAACAAATTATCGGTCAATAATATACATATGTTGCTGTTGATATTGATAATTACTAAAAAACGGACGACTATAAGAAACTATTTTCTTCGTTGTTATCATTATTATACTTCTACCATTCGTAGCATCATCTGCATTATCTTCGTTTCTGACACAAAAGCAATCAAAATATTGTTTTGTTTTACTAAACGTGTTCTAAAATTATCGGCTATCAAGGAACCATAAAATTAAGTTAATGTTTATTCTTGATAACCGATAGCAATCACATTCGACCCGGGATCTGTCAACAGCGATCTTATAATGTTGCGTCTAATCGTAATTATATTCAAGTGAAGCTGGTCGCTGGTGCGAAGATTTTTCTCATTTGTTATTCAGTGTTCGTCTCGGGTTGGCGATCTAACTATAGTGTCGTATTAATAGTGAGATTCGTTGCCTGGACGCCAGGAAAACGTGTGTCGGCTTTTAAACATGTAAAAAACAGTACCAACGATCATTAAAAGTTAAAGCTGTGAAAAGGAAAATTTTCACATCGTAACGTAAGTAGTGAACGCGAAGTTTCCTTGTGTTTTCTATAAAATAACAGCTGTAACACGTAATTGGTGTGCATGGGTAACACAACGTCGCATTGTTCAGATCAAGATTCGTGTGACAAAACCGTTGCCGCATTCCCACTAACCCCACCTCTTTGTTTTCTTACGTAGAATCGAAAACGCTAATCAACTGCCTAGCGTCATAAAAAATACAGCTACATATCTTTTCCTGTTTTTATCGCAATAGTAGTGTTATTCACAATAAAGATCAACACACTCGTTGATATTAGTTATAAAAAGGTTTAATTTGATAAATATACACTCGAAGTGAGCTAGATTTAATTTCCCTATTGGTAGAGTCTACTTTAAAACTCAAGATAGAGTCACGTGAGTCAGTGGGCACTTTATTTATGGCGTTTTCTGTTAAAATCTCTGGGAAATAGAAAACATCTAAAGAAGTGCAAGAAATTTGAATAAAATTGGTAAATTATACAGGAATCTCGGGCGTCGTCGCTTGCTGTCTTCGAAGAGGCTCAAAGGGGAGGTCCCCTTTTTCTTATGCATAATGCTCATAGTCCTATTTATACTTTGGCATAATCGTTTAGACGTAATTGTTTTTGACATAAAATATTTTGATATAATTGTTTTTGGTATATTTTGGCATAATTATCTTTTTAGCATTATTTTATTTATTTATATTCATGTAATATTCGCATAATATTATTCGCTAGACATGAAAGAATTGATGGTTAGCTTAAAATTGAGACCAAAACAAATAACTTATCAAGCGAGCATGCTGCGTCAGCGATTAGGCAGCGTATTTTTTTTATTTAAATTGTGCTTTAGGATGTTAAGCTTAAAAAATATTTTGCTTAGAGACAGTTAAAAAATAAATATGCGTAAGCTAAAATATGCGTAAATAAATGTTATATTATGTAGAATTTTAAGCAAATAGACAGGGAAAAGTTGAGAACCGAACATATTTTCTAAATTACTCCATATACGTAAATTTTTTGTATTGCATTATTTTAGATTTTAATTTCTACCAAAATGAAATAAAACTTATCTGTTAGAACTAGTTATTTACATTGTACTATATTTAAGCAACTACGCGGTTTGTATGAGGCTTTCACTTGTCAGAACTTAAGCGAGATTAAAATCTAGATTCTCATTATTTTCTGTGTGTTGTTAAATTCTTAAGTTAGGTTTTTAATTTTATTAATTACTGGCTGTGTTCTTGTGACTTCACCCTCGTAAGTTATAATAGCCTATGTCACCTGCGAATAATGTAGCTTCTCGTAGATAAAAAAAATCAAATCGGTCCAGTAGTTTCGAAGCCTATTCCATGCAAACAAACAAACAAACAATAAAATCTTTTCTTTTTATAATATTAAGTATGGAATTATAGTCTTTTTTTAGGAACTCAATGGCGCAATGTTTAGCATGCTCGGTCTGCGATACAGCTGTTAAATAATTTTCGCAAGTCGGGTCATTGAAAGGGTGAATAAAAATTTATTAGCTCGAGTTCCTTAGAAGCTCTTTAAGCCGTTAGTTAGTCAATAAACATTCTTTCGGCGTGCCTAAATAAATTAAAATCCGTCGATTCGCTTTCACGTGAAAAGTAACAAAAACAATGACTAGGACTTTATAGTTATTGAAGAATTGATATTCATAAACTCAGTTTATTTACTGTTTTACATTTTTATATTTGAATACGTTTTATTAGAATGAAATAATATACAAAGTATAAAAGGATTTTGTGTTTTCGTGGGAAATGTATGTCTGTAATATTTATTTATAAACGTAGCCAAAGAAGCTTTTATAAAAATATAATTCTCATACAATAGGTTGGTTTATGTTAATATCTTGATTACTATCTTGTATAGAATTCATGTTTTTAAAATATTTAACAAAAGTAATGCTATAAAAGTCGTACTTTAAGCTCTCCACACCATTGTACCAGAATTTATGATTTATTCATTTAGCTTATAGTTGAATGACAAAATAAATCACGATTACGAGCAATGACTCATAAACGACAATACAAGCTTACTTGAATTCTAAGGGCATTGCCAACTTACAAGCTTGCGTGCTAAACAGCTGTTTGTCATAAAAGCCACAAATTGAAACCGCACACTTTTCATTGGTATTGAGTATCGTCGTTATATAAACGTACGTATTTTTAAAATTACAATCGGTAAGTTCTATGTGCATGATATTATGTGGTTACTACAAATTGCTTTCGCAAATAAAAAGCCGCTACTGGCGAAAGTTTTTAAATTCAATTTAAGTATCATTATTGAAAGCAAAGTTCATAAAATAAGTACATATAAAGTATTTGACAACTAATTACTTATTCTTATTAAAACTTTATCTATGTGAATTAGATAGAACATATGAATATCGTAACTCTCTATATTGGTATATGTTAGCAAGAGTTCTTAAGAAATATCAGAACAGGTTTACTTTCATGATTCCCTTTTTCCTATCAACTAGTAATTGACACTGGCAATTTTTTAAAACGTATATAGTTTGTAACGCCATCTTGCAATATACAAATATTTGCATTTCTTATCGCCAATTCATTTCGGTTAGTTAATAAGCTATACAATTTTTATAAACAGGAAAGATTTGAAAAGTTGTTTGCATTATATGGCTCTGAACGACTTTATCCACTATAAAAATTCTTACACCTACGGCTTGTGTCCTACAAGTGAAAATACAGTTTTTTGTTATATGTTCGGAAAATATGAACCATTATAACCTATAAATATTAAATAAAATAAATTTTATGGCTCTATTTTAAAAAAAGGAGGGTAAATACTACAAAAATTTGCTATAATACATAAAACGTTACAGCTTTCATTATAACACACAAACGCACAAATAACAAAGATTATGCAAAGTTTGCCCGGCCGCCCATACGTTTTTCGCTACTGTAGCACCGTATGGCGTCAATTAGTGCATTCAATATGTAGGGAGCGTTTCGGCCGACTAGCAGCAAGTCCAGAAACAAAGCAAAATATCTCCTAAATTATAAATCGCAGACATGCCGTTTCTTCTACATTATTTCTCAGATATTAATGGACTATTTATTTATAAAATTAAAAAAAAATATGTTAACTTGCCTACGAAGTCGCTGGAAAATAATAAAATAAACTTACTTTTTTTATATTACAATATAACTATTTTGAATAAAACGCATTGATCGAATTCAGTCTTTGGTCAATTTATTATTAATTAATCCAATTATGATCCTTTGATTTATTACAATGTTTTTAGGTAGGTATTATTAATACAATTACGCAATCAGACGAGTTAACTAAGCATATAAATCTAGATTTGCCGATGCCTTTGTAGACAATAGTAATGTGCATTGTGCTTAATCTTATAATACACTCCACGTCATGCACAGAGGTACAGGATATTATTTAAGAACGAGACGAAATCAATAAACAGGCGATACAACGAGACAAATAAAAACAGGTGATAGTTATTGTACTGCGGTCAAAAATATTTTTTTATTTAATTAGATGTAAACCACTGCAAATAGGTTTTTAGTATACACAGGTGTGTATACTAATATTATAAACAGGAAAGATTAAATTGTTTGTTTGTTTGCATTAAATAGATTCCATAACTACGGGTCTGATTTTGAAATTCTTTTACTTACGGGAAGTTACATCCGACTCGGGTGACATCGACTATAATTAACGCAGGCAAAGGGCTCGTATTTCATAAATTGGTTTGACGAATCCTACTTGATCGTTGTTCATAACTGCTGATTGACACTGCACGCATTTCCACGTCCATCGTGTATTTTTTTATACATATAAATAAATATACGACAACTCTTGCTAAACATGAGCAATAAGAAGTGGACGAAGCAGACGAAAGATCAGAGGTCGTTTGTAAATGCTAATTGAAAGGTTAAAAAGTGTCATCGTTTGATCTGTTATCGACCACTTAAAATCTTGACCTACAATAGACGACACGCTTTCGTTTCGTCTATACTTTGTGACGTAATAGCGGGGCTTCTTCATAAAGCCATAGCTAGTAATACTTATAGCACAATAAACGAATGAATTGTTATTTATCAATGTATGGATACAAAAGTGTTTAACTATTTTCTTATTTTTTACAATACAAAAAAAATGTTTATCTGTTTTCTGTAATACAGATTTTTTGTACTAGGTACGTTGGTAGTGTTTACCCCAGGTTTACAGAGTTTGTTAAATATTAATCAACGAGTTCACTGGGTATACGTAATGAATCTATTATTTCTATAATGTGTCAACGTCGCGCCCACGTGGACACGACATGACCGACGTATTCGCACTGAATACGACGATGTCCGCACAAACTCGTTTCGTACCTACACTACAAAATACGCCCGTTTATACCTTTGATAAGTGAATGTCTATATAGCCCTGCGATTCTGTAAAACTCCAAACCCGAATTCGAATTCTCTCAGGTGTCCAAATTGACTTCAAAAAGAGGCATACGCTCAACCTTGAATTGGTAATAACGTTTCGTAGCATAAGTGAAGTGAGTTTCGAAATGATATAGGAATAGAATATCTGAGACACGTGTATTCGATCAATTTTGTTTTGTACTTTTATACAAAAAAAATGGAATCAATAGAATTTTTACACTAAATGACGTGAATTCGGACACATGAGTGAATTCGAATTCGGGTCTGGATTTATACAGAATCGCAGGGCTGTACGTAGGCAATTATTTCGCACCTGTGTCATCTTTACACAAAATAAATTTACTGCAAAAGTTTTCACAAAACACGTGTGATAACGTTCATATAGTTTTAGTTTTCGTCTGTTATCCTGATTTTCTTTTTATGCTAGGTATTATTACATTGAAACTTGGATCTTTTCAGTTTCAAAGACTGTTTAAATATCAATGAAATATACACAATAAAGATATCACTAGATTTCATGGAACGATACAACCACATGTTATAGCCGGCAAACATGCGACACAAACGATAATTCCAACAAAGAATAGGTATGGAGAATTATTGAAAACAGTGCATCCATTGACATGCGACGGAGGCACAGATAACACACATGAAATCATATGACTTATGAATTCAATCCACGCAGATTCTGACCGTTAACCTCATTTGGACCAACCGAAAGAAAGTAGCCAACAATAAACCATGACATGAATCGAGGCGAGAACGACAAATTACTATTTAACGTGGTTGCGGAACATTTGCAATAATATATATGTATATTGATTTTACATATGTTATTGGTTTGTATAACTCTATTAATTAGTTAGGTGTAAATTGTCATCGTATCATGCTCTAAAATAACAACCAGAACATTTAAGCTAAATAAATAAATTATTTAACTAAGTATTCATAAAATAAGTAATTATTAAATAATCACCTTGATAAAGTTAAAAATCAATCGAGCTTTTACTTTATAAAGAGATAGGTTCAGTAATTCCATTTTAATGTGTCTATTAAAGTTATTCAGTAAAAATATATGATTAGAGAATTTTATTATCATATGACACTGATATCATAATACTATGCGATATATAAATGAAACAGTAAATTCTACGACGTATGAAAAAATTAAGTGTTTATAAATTATTTATTTATCATCAGTTTGCATTTATTTCAATATGTGTTCCACGTAAGATCCATCTATAAACTGCGGTATTAACAGTGAAAGCACTTTAATAGAAGAGAGTTCACGAGAGTCGCATAAAGAGGTAGGTAAACTAAAAAGAAGATGTACTTTTTAAGAATCTTTTGTTTATATAATTTATGTTTTCATAGTTTATGTCGTAGCTTTAAAGCTTATTGTATAATCCGATGTAATTAAAGATAGGGTAATATTTAGTAATCTGTGACTAAATAATTTACAAGAAAACTGGCAGTTTTTATAAAACTTACTAGAGAGTAGACTTATAAAATAATATTTTTAATAACTTTCAAAACAAAACTGTGATTTAGTTGTTGTTATTCTATTTCTACTTTAATTATTTGAGAAGTACTGAAGATACTTTTTTTAATACTTTCATTCAACATGTAAGAGCTTTGCATAACTTTTGACACGAGTACAATATTATCATTATGAATAACAAGTATTATGAGACTTCATAAAATTAATATAATTTATAAAGCTTATAAAATTTTTGTAGCAGGTAATATTATGATAAACAAAACGTTTCAGCTTGATTTCAACAAATGTATCTAGATGAATCATGTCCATTCATTTACTCACAACAGAAAGGCATTCATGTAACATTTCTGTTGTATAATATCGGTCAGTCTACGTCGTTATTTTTAAACTTTCTTTGACTTTTCACTTTTAAACTATCCTTGACATTGGCCGCAATTATATTTTTGTATTCTACAGAAAAACTAAAGTTTCTGATAATTGACTATCGCAAAAAGTTGTAAAGCGGATGAACTAACAGTCCGCCACTTGGTAGTTTGATGGGAAGTGGGCCAGCTGACTTTCTGACCTACACGAAACATTGTTACCAAGTTCAAACACAAATAACAAGTAAATTGATTAAATCAAGCACAGCAATTCTACAACATCGTTGGACAAAGGGAAAATACAGAAACGAACTGATATATTTTTTGCTGCTAAAACATTAATTCTCACCTTAACACAGATTATGACCGGTTCCACATGAAGTCCGTTCAAAGGCGAAGATAACTTGCGCTGATCAATGTGCAAACAATAACATTTCACTAGTTTTCGCGTCGGACGAACAGAAACTTCGCATTCACATTCTAATAATTTATATTGTCGTGAGAAACAGCGCGTCAGTTACAAGCATACAGATCGGTGCGTGTAGGAACACTGAAGTATATACGAGACGCAATACGACAACACGTAGGAATGAGTAAGGAGGTGGGCGAACGAGTGGCCACGACCGATCGCGGCGCGCGCAGTGAGAGTTGTGCCTCCGTCCTGTCTTGGACCACGACGCTGCGTTGCCAGGAACTTTATCTGATGCACTCAGTGCAACACTATCTGCACAAACAAGGTGCCAGAACTTGTGCAGCTTTAACCCTCAATTATTTTATAGCAGCACCTTACGTATAAAGGAAAGTGTTATGTTACACATTTTATATAACCAACGGTCAAAGTTGATTCGTGTGCGACGACAATTATAAAAAGTCACCAAAACTTTTCCCATTACTCTTTTACGGCATTTTCACAGCATCACAGTTCTACGGATAAATCCACTAATGTATATTTGATTTAAAAAAAAATGTTTTACATCTTTTATTTACTTGTTTTCTTTTTATTTTACTAATATTTGTCAGCAACTTTTTTGTGGATATAAGTAAAATAATTAACGTTAAGAACTTCTAAATGGATCCTATTATTTTTCTACTCAGGTACAAAAGGAAGAGACATAAACTACTATCAGTCCGTTCTGTGATACTTCAAGCAACTACAATACATTTTGGAGTTTTTATTAAGGTCAAATTGGGGAGGTCGAGCCCTTGTAAAAAAATATAAAAACAGCTTTTCAATTTCAATATAATTTATCTAGACTAGGCTATTATTATTAACATTCATAATATTACAACTGAGAAGAATCGGGAAAAAGCTAAACAAGAAGTATTTTCCTCCTGTTATGTTTCATGCAATGTCGCCAATTATTTAATTCTAAATACCATTTCATGATACACAATTACACATGTAAATAGGATAACTAGGTAGTAGTTAAATATAATAAACTATTACCTACTCAAATTTCAAGATGAGTAGCTTATGCCCCCGTATTATGGAGTACCTTATCTGAGACAACGAAAGTACCACAACACCCAAACCCGAGAAAATATAGAAATGTCCATTTATAATATTTACCCGACCGGCAATCGAACCCGAGAATCCAGAGATGGCCACACCGTGAAACCAGCGTGTGAACCACTCGATTAAACTTTTAGTAAATTAAATTGATAGTAATATAAAATGGGTAATATGTAGAGACACATATAAAACAGATAAACAACTCTACGAAACATAACTCTACAAACAGACGGTGTTCGTTACTATCAAAAACAATTTTACTATCTCATAATTAGTTCTGCAATAACAGATAATGGATATTTATCATTAATTAAATAGCTTTCATTCTTGATTGTTTAAAAATGCCTTTTAAATTTCGTTACTTTTCATAATTATATTCTTTTATTATTATTATAGAGAAAATTGATAATAAATGAGTCATTTTATGATAGAGGGTTGAGAGTGTGTAATTTTTCAATTAATATTATTGCATAATGTAATAAAATAGAAATAGTGTTACCAAAAGGAAAATATTATTATAGACTCTCTCGGGTACAGCAATTAGGAGATGACCCTATTTTGCGCAATATGTTAACCTCTGTCCTTATCTGTCTCATTGCCTAGCCTTCCGATTACGCCGCCTTTAATAGGTTCAAGGGCCGATTTGATCCAAGGGTAGGCAAAACGGTCAATGAATTGCCCTGAACGGTAAAAATTAATAGTGGCAGAATCGAGGGAGAACCGTATATGTCTTTAAGGAGAGAATGTTCAGTAGCCCGAAAACGTATTTTAAAATACGGCTTTATAATTTAATGAAATAATTGTGTAATGCACGTTTAGCTCTAGTCTCGGTTCGATAGCTTATACTATAGTTAACACCCTTCAATACGCACTAGCCTCGCATGGCAAGATTATGACTCGTTCTTCATATTTTTCTTTAATATAGAAATATTTTTTCAAATTTGACTATACAAAATTCATAAGATTATTTCGACTACGGAATTCATTGGACCATATATCTCAGAATCTCTTAAAAAATAATTAGTCGACAAAATTGCCAAACAATGGAGATCGAATTGTAATAGATTAAAACCGAACATGATTCTAATAGTTTTTTAATAACATTCATCTTATATTTAAATTTGTTATTTTTATTATCTTTTTGTAAAAAAAAATCTTTATAACAGTTTCTCCGCGATTTCGTTCGCGCAAATCATAGTCTATGTCACCCGCGAATGATGTAGCTCCCTATAAGTCAAATATTTTTTATAACTTAGTATTATATTTTATATATAGTATTTCCCCATAACCCCTTTATAATATTAGTATAGATTGTACTCTATTTTTCTTTTCAATATATCACATACGTTACACTGTATAGACCTCATATAAATAGTTAAAGCACTGTATTACGGAAATCTCAAATAAAGAAGGTATCATAACCAAGACTCTAAACAATATATTTTTATTTCACTTTGACTAAACAGGTAATCAAATCCAAGACCACAGTTGGTAACAGGCGTGCGAGACAATCGGCCACGAAGATCCTAAAATAGTTAAAATTATAAAACAGGTATCTAAAATTGAATATAAAAGTGGTCACTTAGTAAAAAAACAGGATGGATCAACTACGTATAGAGTCATGGCAGATACAAACGAAATAGTATCTTATAAATTTGGCAACTTCATTGGCACCTATTGATAAATTCCATGTTGCAACCCTATAGTAGCACAGGTAAGTAAAGGGCGGCAAAAGGAAACAGATGTTCATTCGGTTGCTAACATAAAAACGTGTCACTCTTGGGTGAGCTCGGGCCCTGGCCAATGGTACACCGTACTCCAGCAACCCCATGTGTCTGTCCTACACTAACAAGGGTGTATATAATATTTTGCATCTCTATCGCACATAGACATACCACAGGGTGCTCTGCTGGTGTTGGTGTAAAGTTGTTTGGACGTTGTCAGCAGCAACGCTAGTACGATACAAGTCACGAGGCTACACAGCCAACAGACGTGCACGATAGCTTCCATACTACATAACATTTTTTATTTTAATTTCCCTTCGTCAAAAAGTATAAAGTCTAGTGACGTCGCAACGAAGAAATGTAAGTAAAAGTTTGAACATGTAACGCTTGCACTATTTTCTTCTTACGATATATCAGCTGTTCATAATGTTAACCCACTGAGAAATCACGTGATCTAAAGAAATGTAGGTTTTATAAGAATATAACTAGACAGCTTTATTTCTAAGATTATTATCATTACGTCTCACTCCTGATTACATAAAGTTATCTACGATATCTTCCACTTCTTGCTGTATAAATGAACCACTAACGTAATTTAAATAAATAATTTATTATATATAAGTTACACCCATTTTTTTATTTTTTAAATGAATATATTGTAAATAATACTGTAAGGTCAATGATACAATAAAATTTGTAGGCACGTATTTAGTTTACGTTATTACCACTATACCTATCTAATTATGGCCATAAATAAATATTTATCTAAGTTGTTCCTATTAATAAAATTGGCAGTAGTCAACTATAAATATCAATTATTTAATTAAATAAACCACCAAATAGCTACTTTTAAGGAAAGCCAAAAAACTGAATCACAATTCAGAAAAAAGTTTCAACTTGTTGGATCGTTATTCTACATATTTCAACGATATTTATGCATGCCTATTGATTAAAAAAAAGCACATGAAGCACTTTTTATAAAAATATTAGGTCATATTAAGATTATTGGCCATAGTTGTAAAAGTTCTATGTCGTAGTAGATCAAATGAGTATTGCCTGTAGTTCGGTTAGCATCACAAAAACGTGTAATAATTTAAAAGAATAGGTACATTTTGTTAACGTTATCGATATTTTTAAAGATATTTCGAGTTTAAATACATTAGTCGATGGAGCGGTTAATTATCGGAGTCTATAGGACTGCAAATTACATCAATTGATATTACAGTTGTCCAAGTTTTATTCATTGAAAAACTGTTGTCAAGGGAAGCCAAACCGAGATTCAAAATTCGAATGAACTTTTTACTTTTCATACCTCCGAATTTTGATCTATTGATATGGATATCTTATGTATACTAATATTATAAATACGATCCGAAACTACTAGACCGATTTTTATAAAATGTTTCACTTAAAGTAAACAGATACAGCTACGGGTGACGTAGACTATAATAGGAATGTTGACTAATTTTTATTTGTCTGGTACCGTCATATTGAAGAATATTAAATACGTATTTTTCTTTTTTTCGTAATCAATAAATTACAGCGATATATTGAATTAAATGTCGCATGACGTCACGGTTTTGTACATTTTCTACAAAAATGTGACGTAGTTAGGCCCCACTCTTCAGTGTTAATACTCTAAAAAATGGATCTAAGCCATTTCTTTTTTAAATTGAAGCAAAAAAAAATATTACCTACATATAATATTTTTCTATTATCTGATTGACGGACTAAATAGAACTTCTTTTTTTTACCCAGCCGTCATCACTATTTACGTGCTAAAAATCTAATATTTATATAATAACAAAAATTAAATGCATAACTAAGGTTCGTAAGTACCGCATAAATTGAAAATTGCTTAACTAATTTCGGTTTAAAATAATACAAATAAATTTCTTGCGGAAAGAAATATTGCCCGGAATTCTATAAACATTAAGGATTTCTTACAATTAGTTTATATATTTGATATACTACACATACCGTGAAAATAATCAATATATCAGCACAATAAAATGACAATAAATCATGTCTTTTTTTCAGTGTACCTATATTTGTTTTAATTCTACGAGACTAACAAAATTACCAGTAAAAATGATTATTTTATTGAATCACTTATTAGTAGGTATCTACAGGAACAATGTTTAATATTGATTCAATTTCAATTTCTACTTAAAATTCTTGTGATCATCAAAAATTCAAGTTAAATTTTATAACCAAAAATAATTGTATAGGTTCATTGAAAATTGATCTAAAATATGTCTGAAATGACCTTGGTAAGTGTTTTCCTTTTCAAGCCCGAAAACATAAAGTAAGAAATCAAAATGAACTACCTTACGCTTAAAGTTATAAAAAAACTTGCAAAACTAAATACTTTTAAAGCAAGAGATATCGTTATTTGACGCTAAACTAAATTTAAACTAAGAAGACCTTTCAAGTAGTATCAATTACATTAAATTTGATAGTAACTTAGGGGCGACAATGGCGAATACCCCCAAAACAGTTCTTACACACATGATTACATGATACGATTAACGTCTAATTAATTACCTACAACGTTATTTGAACACATGACGGATCTTATGTCACCCTTTTTCTTTTTTACTCTTATGTTATATTATATAGATACAAGCCGTTTTGCTGCGACATCGTCTAGCCAATATCAGCCGCGTACGATTTAGCTTACCTGTCGGTGAAAGAACGTTCATGATCGTATCGGTATTTTCGACGATTTCCCCCTACAAACAAACAAAGTTAGAAACTTTATCTCTTACTTTATAATATTAGCAAAGATTCGATATAGCCACTAAATAGACATTTAAGGGGGGCATAAAGCCAGAGAACTATCTATCCATGTCAATCTCATTTTGGCAATGAGATATTTAAAGATGCAGGATAGCAAATTACTAGTCAAAATTGTTTTTAATAATTTCTTGCGTACAACAACAACACAACACAACATTATTGTCAGTGCTGCAAATCTTCTCGGACACAAAGTATTGACATATTTATCATTTTTTTAAGAATGAATTATTATACCTTTGCAGTAGCGATTTTTTTATAATCTTATATTGGACTGGTCCAATATTTTTAAATAATCCATGACAGTCTGGCTTTTTAGGTTAAAAATTATGTAACTATTGAAATGTAAATTGTGTATGTAAATTATTCAAATCCTACCTGCATTGCTATTCAGTTAAAAATGAAGCATGGAACGTAGCATTGTGGGCAGCACAGTTTTATATCCAATATCTAATCAATTAAAACCTACAATCCTATATACTTCAAAACGTATACATTTTATTTGATTATTTTTGGACCTCTAATATTCTAACATCGCACTAAATATAATAATACTCATTGAAGAATATTACTATATATTTGAAATTTTCACGTGCATTGTTTTTTTTTTTCAGGTACCCATTAGAATAAGCTTACCATGCACCGAAAATTCCATTTTACATAATGACGCTATCTAAAGATAGTGATAACCATATAGAAGCAAAGACTGACATATGTGATGATTCCAATTGGGATTCCTTATATTGTTCTCATCTGTGGTCAAATAGCAAATTACGAAAAGCAATAATAACGGCGTCTTACCAGGATAAAAATGTTATTAAATATTGCTATAGGTGTAGGGGAAAAATAAGGAAATATGAAATTCAACCATCAGAAGATATTTTCTTACCAAATGAACATTCAACTCCAACACGAAATATTGAAACCAGATTCCAGGAACTGCCTTTAAACGTGACACAAGAAAGTTCTATAAATGTTATATCTTTAGACCTTCCAGGCGATAGAATAATTGCAAAAGACATTGAACCTATCGCAAATGTTGAGATTAACCAAACCATTCCAACGATATCCCGTCAAATTGATTCCAGTTTTCGCCAAAAGTTTGTTTCCGATATGCGTAATAATGAAATTAACCAAAGTAGACTGAGGAAAAGCCTGAAAGGCATCGGATGTATAGTTAATTTAGCACTTAACGATAATTCAGTAAAGAAAAGAACACACATTCAAGCATGCTCAATAAGTGTAATGATACTAGCGATTATAGTTATTAGCTTTGTATTAGTTAATTTTACAAATCCTAATTATACACGTGCGACAACGATAGAGAGTACAATTGTAGTGCCAATAAAAAGTATAGAATCAAATGAAACATCATCACCGATTATTAATTTCAATACGAATCCCACAATCCTAACAACTTTGAACGTAGCAGATTTCACACAGAAACAAGAACCAGAACCAGAACCTATCACCCAGGTCCCTGAAAACACTTCTCTAATTTTTAGTGTAATTTCTAAGATCCGTAAGAATGTCCGCACGTTTCCAAAAAACGCAAATAAAGAAAGTTTGAGGCCGAAAGACATCATAAACAGAGATGTATCTCAAAGATTTTGCTCGTGCCAAATAAATGAAGTTTGTATGTTAGATGAGAATAGTGGTACTGCAGTTTGTAAGAAAGCAATAGATATTGAAGACCCAACAGGTTTGTGATGTTGAATATAATTTGGCCAAGAATTTAATATGTTTTGTTGGAATTAAAACATTATCGGTTTGCCTGCTTATAGGTTGCGGAGGACTTTGTACAATAGAAACAGAAGCTTGTCAGCTAGTGGACCGTCTGCGTGGTGTTCGTGTCTGCAGACTTTTGTCGTTGGTGACTTGTTTGCCGGAAGAGTGGCGCTGTCGTAATGGGCTTTGTGTGAAAGCTGATCAACGATGTGACGGTTCCATTCAGTGTTATGATCGCTCCGATGAAATGCATTGTGGTAAGTAAGCAGTTATATACCTACTGATAGTTCTTATCAGGTTTGAAGGTTTCATAGAGAAAAAAATCTTTATAGTTTTAATGTACGTTCATCTGCTATCAGGAAGTCGGTACTTGTTAGAAAATCGTATGGCATCTTATATACAGGATTGCGAATATTGTACTTTTCGATTACCCCACTAGGCTACGTAGTACTTTTCTTTTTTTTTATTAAAATTTTATCATCAGCTTATTATTTTTCTCACTGCAAGTTTACATACCTTACCTATGAATACAATCAAATAAGGAGAGCGACCACTGTGTCAAACCGAACGTGCTAGTACAGTGCCATCAAGCTCTTCTAAGTTAAATTATTTCATTTTTATTTATTGTCACAATCGTTTTTATATTAGTGATAGTTTATGCGTTTTCTCATGGACGATATTGTAAGATTAATACCCAAATTCTGAATTGAGAATCTTAAGTTGAAAACGTCTCAAACTGTACTTAAACTTCATTTAAACGGTCTTTTGTTTCTGATATTAGTTTTTAATGATCCAGTTGATAGCAGTTTGCTAAAACTGGGATTTTTGTCTTGTGGAACTTAAAATTAAAATTTAGTTATTTATCCACCAAAAGGCATGTCAAGCTAGTGGCTAGGAAATCAGCTAGTAGGTATCATCCCAGGAACACCTACAACTTCATTAAAACTTTGTGAGGGTCAAAAATGTCACTCCACTCTCAGATCGTATAATTCATCGGTACTTATAATATTTTTTACAGATTGTGATTTAACAAAACAATTCAGATGTGGACATTCCATATCCTGTTTCTCCAATACAAAACTTTGTGATGGAATAATTGACTGCTGGGATGGATATGATGAATTGAATTGTACTACCGGTACGTACATACAATAAAAATTATAGTTCATTCCTTGTCTTTTGACATACTAACTACTAAAGTTGGAATACAAATCGTATTTATACCGTTTAAGCTACTCACGAAACTGGGTTATGAATGTGCTCATTCAGACCTAACGGGTCTTCCTATACTCACTTCCTATATATTGGAAAACTATTTTATTACAAAATTATTCACACATACATGTTTAATATCTGATAATGATTAAGGACAATAAATAAATTTAATGTTCGTAAGTGTTAATATTTTTTGAATAATAACGCACTGAAATTTGTGCATGTACGAGTAGATATCATTTTACATTGAATAGTTCGCGTGTGGAAGCTAACATGATGTCTATAATAGCGTGTTTTTGTATAATTTCTGACTTTGAACTAGAATTAACAATGTTTACAAATCAATTTAGCCTTGATGTGACTTTAACAATTTAAAACTATTTTATCAGTTGTGAAACAGAAAAAAATTATATAGCATTATAAATTTGCCATCATAAATATCATAGACCTATTCAACGAAGCTTCAAATTCATTTTTTTATTTTAAAAACTATCTGTTTTCCTACTTCTTGAAGGTAAAAGAATCTCTTGAATCGTTCCCGTCTAGAAGCCTATTCGATGAAAACAAACAATCAAATCATTCTTTTTATAATGTTCGTTTAGAATCTTTTTTTGGGAAACCCTTAGAAGAGTCGCCATTCCTTGGTTCGATTTACGGTCAGATCAATATCGAAAATGAATTTTTCTATACTGCCTAGGGTCTGGTGCTATGAAGCTAAATACTTATTTTGGCGTCTGAGCGATGTATGCGCTATTGTCTAATGTCTGATAATTTAATGTTACTTGGGTGATTATTATTACCATATTTATTTATTTTTTCAGAGTGTCCAGGTGACCAGTTTACGTGCACAAACGGTCAGTGCATTCTGTCATCAAGGTTTTGCGATAATCTAGCTGACTGTGTGGACGGTAGCGACGAGCCTCATGGCTGTGATGGAGGCTGTAGTGCACAGGAGTTACGTTGCGCTAACAGTAGATGTGTGCCACGCGCTGCACGATGTGACGGCAGAGACCACTGCGGTGATGCCAGTGATGAACTCCATTGTTCCTAGGATAATTATTGAACAGACTCTAGGAAAAATCAAAATATTATTCATAAATAAGTGCCCTTCAAACATCTCAGTAGTGCTATTCTCTTATAAAAACAGTCTCGAACTTATTGCCAAGCTTAACGCTGTCTTAGCAAAAAGGTTCAATCAAATAAAAGCTACATGAAAAGGTTTTTATTTAATTGAACCTTTATACTATCACAGCACTGTGCCTGTCGAACAAATTTAGGGCTTTATGTTTTATTTTTAGCTGCATAGCTGATATTAAAGTTTTTTTAAGGTAACAATAAACTTGAGCATTGCGTTGTTACGTGTAGATTTTTCCGATTTTAATTTTGTCACACTGAGTAATAAACAGAGACAAGATATAACAAGCATACATCTATTTACGGACATTCTAGTGAAGGCTCTTAATACTAGTCGTATAGGTATATAATTATTCACCAAAAAGAAGTCAGACAACAATAACAAAATAACACAGTTCGGAAATAAGCTCGAAGGAAATCGAGCCCATTGCATTTATTCGCGTGGTGAAATATTGCGATGCGACGCGCACACTGTCGATAGTGTGTCAACGTTTAGCTAGATTGCTTGCTAAAACATATATTTTATTAAATTATAAGTATAACGCAAAATCAAAAGCTGTTCATTACAAATGAATGCTCAAATTTATCAGAACCTTTATAAAAACTCCACCTTCCCTTAAATATCATTAAGGTCATCGAGATCGAAAAAAGTGCGTTACATCTGCGCTTTATGTTCCTAGCCGATAGTATTATTTTAAATTATATATTTTGCATTGACATCCCTAAAACACTATTAAATTAAATTGTATTTAAAAACCTAACAACCTCAAAGGAATGTAAATCTAACTCCGTCCACAAACGAGCTGCTAGCTTGGCTACTTCTGTACCAGGATATTGTTTTCGCTGTAGACTTACATTTTGTTTGTATATATAAATAGCTTTTTATAAATTATTTTTAATAATAACTTTTAGGCACACTTACTTACGTCTGGTTTGGTGGTAAGTCGTCATTTTCGGAATTTCCTTACTTTCGGTATAAACCCCAAAGCACTATATAAATGACATACCAAGGTACCTCTACCAAATATAATTGGTATATTCAAACAATCAATAGGTTAAAATATAGGTATCTACCAACTGTTAATTATAAAGAATTTAAACGTTGGATTCTAACCATATGACGTTATAAAAAAAACTAGGTAAGTACCTCGCTACACTGAAACGTGTACAAAACATGCGAACTTCAGAAAATGTTTTACCTCACCCGTAGATAAATAATGTACCTAAATACATTATTTGGGTAAAACCTACATATATGTATAATTAAAAATGTGTGAAGGTATAAATTAGAGTTAAATATTATATATTATTTTTAGTCGTGTACTTGTGTATAAGATTGTATATGAAGTAAGTTTAAAACTACCTATATATAAATATTAATAAAGCAGCAATATTTTTCAAACAAAACTGTTTTCTTTTAGGGAAAAACAGATAATCATCCCCCTTTTTGGATAAAACATAATTAAAAAATAGAATCTACAATAGGTACATTCAGTGTGAAAAGTAGGAAAAAGCCTACCGACCTAACTAATGCTTGAACAAATGGCAAAAATTTACAGTTGTTCAAAAATAATCATACTAGTACTGTTTAACAAATAAAATGATATTTTCAAGTAATCATCATCATCATCATCAGCCTTTTTACGTCCCCACTGCAGGGGCTTAGGCCTTCCTTATGGATGGTTAAGGAGGATGGGCCATGACCCTCCACGCTGACCCAATGCGAATTGGAGGGTATTAACGACTGCAAATGCAGGCGGGACCAACAGCTTAACGTGCCTTACGAAGCATGGAGTAGCTCGAGATAATAATTTTTTGGTAACCCATCCTGTGACCGACCCTTGCGAAAGTTGCTTAACGACCACAATTTGGATATACTTTAAATGTTTTATATTTTTTAGATATCCATTTTCCGTTAACCATTCATATCTATTTCACAAAAAATCTAAAAACAACGACAACGAACGACAAGTTTTTCCCAATAGCACTGGGTACTAAAATCACTGACTTTACGTAGACTTTACTTTACATATGTTGACAGTGGCGGATTTATCCTAAGGCCATAGTAGGCCCAAGCCTAGGGCTGCCAGATATTTCTAGGGGAAACATTGGGATCTAGATGTAGCGCAGTCCCTGCTAGATTCCACGCCCTTTCGGAGGAGGTGTAGAGGGAATGCCATCCGCATAATCCCTCTACGACAAAGAATAAAAAATAATAATAATAAAAAAGAAAAAAGAAGGATTGGCAGATATTAGGGTGGCCAATAATGAAATACCGAGTCCTAAGAATTGTATCTTCAAACAAATTTAAGAGATTATATATTGACTAACCAACACGATCTCTTAAATTAATACAGGTATAGTGGTCTGAAAAGTATTAGAATAAAACAGCGATTATTTTATATATATTAACTATTTTCGTGGAATAACAAACTACTGTTATTATTACTCAGATATAGAAGATATGTCTATTCTACACACATCTGATAGCACATCTAATTTTTTTAAATGTATTTCAATAAACGTTATCTAGAAAGTCGCTATTCTTAAATTGTAATTTTAACATCTGCCGGACACTGTTTACATTTATTTACAGATTTTTTTTTATAGCATTGATTCGCTGATCTGCTTTCACACCGCAGCTTCCACTAATTCCATATCTTCGATATTTGTCTAAGCAAATTCTCACTTCACTATTATCACGAAATAAATAGAAATACGTCTACTTGTTATAATGTATCGCATGCGACTGCCAAGAATTGGTTAATTTGAGAATATGCTAAGCTTTGAAATATCCGCCTAGACATGGGTAAAAATCATAGTAGTATTTAAATAATTTAACTAAACGAATGTTAGTAATTACGTATTTATAGTATTTCTTGTGCATATCACTAGTTTTTGTATGAAAAAACAATATTAACATGATAATTTATGAGTCTCGTCTAATTTACAACATATAAGTAGTAACTAGTAATATGAAATCGTTCAATAATGATTTACTGGCTTTTTTCCATAAAACAAAGTAAAACTAACTTAAAATATTCACCCTTCAATCTTCCGGGAGTTTTGGAAAAAAGTTTCTTTTTTTTTATTAACTCGAGACAACAACAGCCATTCCAACATAAAAAACAAAAGACATTATTACATTTATAATAAATCCGGCCAAAAAGTTGCCCACAATAAAAATAACAGCAAGCCTAAGACATAACAACCCAACCAAATATGTCATCATAAGCATTAAATTATAAATTCTTATAGATGTTATAGATAGAATTCTAATATTATGATATTATTTCTCACCCAATCAAGAAGCAGAAATTACTATGGACTTGACTTTTTCCAAGAGATTACCTCTGCCACCTACGAAAGGATCGATTTCTTAAAATAACCCATTATAACTGTCTACAATTCGTGACATCACCGCATTCTTGCCATAATTTGTGTTGTGAAAAGGGACAGCGAACAAACTTGTGTGACGTGTACGACGTGTGGGTACTGTCAATGCTAATTGCTCCAGAAGCTCAGGGCAATCAAGGCGCCCGTACAACACATCATATAAAAGACTCATGTCCAGTACCAAGCGACGCTCCTCGAGTGTCAGCAGATTGTGTTCATGGCAATTTTCCTTGTATGTTATTTTTTGAGTATAAGATCTAAAATTAAGGTATTTAATAAATTTTCTCTGGATGTTTTCCAACCGATTTTTATGTACTGCATAAAACGATGACCATATTGAACATGCGTATTCTAAAATACTACGTACATAAGTGTAACACACGATTTTAAGACTGGTGGCTGTTTCAAAAAGCTTACAAGTTCGCATAACGAAGCCCAAGCTACGGTAGGCTCTATTAAGTATATTATCGATGTATAATGAGAATGTCATTTTAGAATCAAATACCCAGATCCCGGACAGATTCCACTCTTTCAATTTCGGTATCGTTCATTTTGTATTTAAAGGATACTGGCTTAAGTTTCCGTGTAAAACTAATACACTGACATTTGGATATACTAAGTGTAATGTTGTTATCCGTGTAATATGACATTAGATTGTTAATATCTTGTTGAAGCAATATACAGTCAGAGACTGAATTTACCCTCATGTAATTTTTTTTATCGTCAGCGTATAAAAGATGTTTAGCACTATTAAAGCAGGTATACATGTCATCGATATATGCATTGTAAAATAAAGGCCCAAGATGCGAGCCCTGAGGAACGCCCGATGACACCATGGTATAGTCAAATTTGTATCCACCTAATACCACTGCCTGGGATCGATTGAAAAGATACGAGGCAACACACCGCAGCAGATCGCCATGGATCCCCAGTGATTCGAGCTTTTGGAGCAGAATAATGTGATCAACACGATCAAATGCTTTTTCAAAGTCCTCAGAAGAGGACATTTTCGCGGCAATTTTCATCTCTAATAAACATACAAACAACGTCAAATACTATATGTATATAGTAGATCCCTAATAAGCACTCAAACGATCATTGCACAAACGTCCATTACGATTTCATGATGCCTTTAAGCTTTAATAAATGTCAAATTTGTATGGGTAATGAAACTTTTAAAGCTTTCAGCTTTAATGACAACAGTAACACATAAATCGATTCGAAAACATTACTTCTTATCTCTTTACGAATCCATGCCGCTAAGTTTTATTCAAGAAACATCGATTACGTAACGATCAATCAACCAAAATCGATTTATTTTCTTAATATTTTACAGAAACTGTACTGTTACTGAAAATATAGGGCTATTACCAATTAATCACTTTAACTATATTGTAAACCGAAAAAATCATTACTCTTGACTTTGTAAAATATGTGACTTGTTCATAAGATTACTATTGCTCACAATAAGGAAGTATTAAAAAAAACATTAGTTCCCGAAATCAAACTAGATCGGTACTTTTTTATCCTTTATTCAATCTTCTCTATGCTTTCTTGATTTCTCCATCCAACAACCTTTCCGGTTTTTTTCTGTATAAAAGTAAATTCATTTTCAAAACTCAATAAAAAACTCATATTCTATTTGTACTTTTTCGTATTTGTATTGATATCTAAGGTTCAAACTTTGCGATTATAGTTTTTAATATATTTGTTAAAAGGAACGGAAAGGACTATTTTTTGTCCATTCGTTTCCTGCAATAATTAACTTTTGCTAGGGTCGCCATCTAGTGAGGTACTTTTTTAGTGCTTTCTTTTTTTTATTATTTCTTCATTTAAAATAAAAGCTAACATATTCCTTCTATTAATGAAACAATTTAAAGTTACAATATAATGTATATTCGACTCCTCGAGACATTTCAAAATAAAACCTTGGTGATTTAACCACACTTCACTCTTATAACTCATTTCAATGTAATACAAACAGACTTTGTTTTTACAATGACAAAGCACAAACAGAAACAAAATCTGCCTGAGTCAATACAATACCACAGAATAGATTTTTTCTTATAGGCAAAGATATAAGTCTATACAAACAAGCCAGATTATGCATTAAGTCCACAAATCGAAGATCGAGTTCATAAAAATCGATTTTCGATTAAATCGAATCGGATTGGAATCGCTTCCTTACTTACCTTGCAAAAATCCATCTTTGCGTTCGTGACGAGCGTCATCAAATTTCTTGTCAAATTTGGTTGTAACAAATAGTTTAGTGCTATCAAAATAACCCCTTGTATTTATTTACACTATGGCGGATAGTGACGATGAATATGATCGCAAACGACGTGATAAATTTCGAGGTGAAAGAGGCACCGCAGAAGGAAGTAGCTATCGCAGCAGTGATCGACGTGAAGAAAGGAGTCGTGGACGTGATGAGTGGTCGGAGAGGTATGTTCCTAATAGCATTAGAAGTTTCTAATATTGACTCAAACAATTAGTTCAAAACTTATCTTTTTTCAGATCCCAACCTCAACCCTCTATGGAACCTCCTAAAATTCCCTTCCATGTCCCTAAACCTACAAAACGTTCTGTAGCTGTAGTTGTAAGGTATTCAATGTTGATAATCTATGTAGCTCATCATAAATAGTTGATCGCCTCCAAAAATATGATTTAGAATATGTACTTGTATTTTAAACCTGATACATTCTCCAGAATTTTATTATGTAATTATTACAAAAATAAGTACTTTTTATAATATACATAATGGAACTATGATAAATGGCCATATGTTCAAAATTTTTGGTTACAAATAAATTTAACAGAGATTCTTGGGTGGAAAGATCTCGGGGAGGTCGCTCTGGCCCTGACTATAGGGATTATCGTGGTGGAGCTAGTGCAAGTCGAGGATACTCACCAGTGAGAGGTGAAGGTCCTCCGAGCAAGCGCATTCGTCCAGATTGGCCTGTAGAAGACAGAAGATATGGAGGAATGCCGCATGATTCATATGGTTCATATGGATGGGCTCATGATCATTTTGGTCCTCATCCTGCCCATCAAGGTTATGGCCAACCTATGCCACCAGTGCCCGCAAGGTAAGTTCTTAATTTTTTATGTTTGTTTACTACATAAATGAACACTACAGTTTATAATAGTGTATTCACTATTTATGTATCAGGGATGCTGTGGTACCAATGGGGCCAGCTGAGGCATCAGGGACAATGATGTCCTTCAAGGCTTTCCTAGCTGCCCAAGATGACTCCATCACAGAGGATGATGCCATTCAAAAGTACAATGAATACAAGCTTGAGTACAGGAGACAACAACTTAATGAGTTTTTTGTTGCTCATAAAGATGAAGAATGGTGTGTATTCCACATTATATTTGTTTATATAAAAATAATAAAGTCCAATCAATTTAAATTGCATTACATATCTATAAATTTAATAAAAAGTCATTCTAATTTTTCGTCTTTGTAAAATTAATTACTGTGATTTTTGCTGGTAACTAAAAAATTCTAAGCATAAAATAAGCATGCGTGATATAGTATTGTGATTATATTTTAACTTTATGCTTTTAAACATATTGTGCTTAGAATTTTTTAAGTATCATGTGCAAATCTTAATTTAACATTTTTTCCCTGCAGTCTACAACGTATCCACGCGGAACGTAATGCTGGACAACATTGAGAAAACATTTATTCAAACTTTATAAAAATGTGTGTGTAGCTAGTTAATATCGCGTTGACCAGTAGCGCGCAATGCTACAGGTTTCGTTTCTGTTAGGGGTAGGGCTAACATATTCCACATTGAAGTGTGGAACAGGTGAGATTATGAAGATTTTTTAAATATTTACTTACTCATTTTGTTTATTTTAGAAAAAGCAGTCAGGATGAACATTCATTTTTATGTTTACTTGATGTAGCAACACTGATTATTTATGTCTCAACATATCTTATAATATCCTCATTAATTCTTGCCTTACCCCCAGGCAGTCTTCATATACTGACAGATTATAAAGAAATATATAAAAAAATATTTCTCATAAAATATATTATGTATATTAAATGGTTGTTTACTATCTTAATGAGTATAGTTTTTACAATTAGTGTTTTAGAAATTAGATATGCTACACATGGAATGTATTATGAACATAATATCTTATTTCTTAGGTTCAAGATCAAGTATCATCCTGAGGAATCAGTGAAACGTAAAGAGGAACAATTGTCTGCGTTGAAGGTATACCATTGCACAGAATCATATTATACAGAAAATATATAATAATAATAATATTTATTTCCAAAAAAATTTTATACATAGGTTTAAACTCAATGTTACAATATATTCTAAAACAGTTTTCACATCTCTTTGTGTGTTTTAGAATCGTTTGGGTGTATTTCTGGAGTTATTAGACCATGGGGAGTTAGATAAGGTAACAGTTGATATTGATAAAACTGATAAGTTGATAAGACTTCTCGACACAGTTGTAATCAAACTTGAAGGTGGCACAGAAGAAGATCTAAAGGCTCTTGATGACCCACCACCACAGGAGAATGCGAATTCGAATGATAAATCAGGTATATTCCACTTTTACTAGGACCAAAATAAATTGTTTTTGTCAGCCTTATCAGATTTTTCTTATTATGATATTTTGACGACTTGGTTTTTCAGCTAAACCAGATTCAGATAAGCCTATTGTCATTGATGTTGATGCAGTTAAAGTTAAAGAAGAGAAAGTCGAAACAGAGAAAAAGGACAAGGTCTGTAATAGTTCTAACAGTAGCTTTAATCTATACTTATAACCTTGGTAGTATGGGCTATTCCGCAATTCAAATCTTGACTCTTAACAATTCTTCTTTATTAACAATATGCGTGACTTTTTCACCATAGCCAATAAATAAAAGTTTTCACACATTAACAGAAACTTAATAACCAATTATAATAAACTTATTAACTTTTACCTGTGTGTTCACGAACACTAACATGTTATATAAAGATTTCTATAGTATTTCCTTTTGACAGTATGTCTTGATCTAGATGCAAAATCAATCTTTCTATACCTATGCATAAAAAGATCACGCAAATGCATTTCCTTAACAATTTTTTCACGTGGGCTTAACATAAATCCGCCTCTAAAAAATGTTACTTGAAAGTAACTTGGTCACCAGGATAAGAAAGCGGAATCGCCAAAACCTACCGCGCCATTGACAATGGCGATCGATCCTCATCTGCGTCAATTGCAGGAACAAGCGAAGCTGTTTTCGCGATTCAATACTGAGCCGCAGCCAGAACCTGAAGAAAAAGAACCACGTAAGTGTACATGTTGCTTATAATTTAATTTATATTTTAGAAATCTTTCAAATGTTGCATGATATGCAAAATAAGTATTTCTCATTTTTGCCACAGCCTTAGTCTACATTCCACATTGTAGAGTTTTAATGATGAATAAAATAAAAAAGTATGACCAATTTATAGTGGTCTGTTATTTCTTTTATGGAATGGAAAAATTTGAGAGTATTTATTAATTTACCAGCATCATTCACATCAACTGAAATATTTCAAATGCTAAACACTAATATTTTATCTGAAAAATGTTAATAATTTGGAATGCTTGGATATTTATGCAAAATGTCAACAAATGCAGGTAGACGTTAACATTTTACTGATTATTTATCATTGTGTGACCTGAAAAGTTCATATATGTCCCCAATTTCCAGCTCCACCGGGTTCCTCATCGAGCTCATCATCTTCAAGTTCTTCATCATCAAGCTCTGAAGATGAGGGCGATACGACCACTCGCCGTAAATCCAAATCTAAATCTAAATCGAAGAGCCCAGAAAAATCGCCTAAAAATTTGGAGAAATCTGCTTCCCCCAGTGTGGAAAACGTTGTAGAGGCAGTAGACAACGACACTGAAAAAGAAAAGCCCGCTGAAGAAGATAAGACAGAATCTGTCAATGATGTTGTTGTCGAGAAAAAGGAGTTGCGAGCGCTGCATAAAACGACATCAATATTTTTGAGAAATTTAGCACCAACAATAACAAAGGCAGAAGTTGAAGCTGTGAGTGTATATCAAATACATTAAATATATCAACAAAATATGTGATTTCAATTGTGTGTGTTGCTTAAATATAATAAATAACGTGATCGTAACTTATTCTCTAGATGTGCAAACGTTACGGTGGATTTTTGCGTGTCGCTTTAGCCGATCCGTCTCCAGAGCGTCGCTGGTTCAGACGCGGTTGGGTCACCTTTCGCCGTGAAGTGAACATCAAAGATATTTGTTGGAACCTAAACAATATTCGCGTAAGTTACTAGCAAAGTAAAACGATTTTAAAACAAAATGAACAGAAGGTAGAAATATATTTATGTTAACAGTTCTCCAGTTCAGCTCATATTACAAATTTTCCAATTCCCAATTACATTATAGCTGCAAGCTTTTATAATACATATAATTTTTTATTTGACTATACTTTACGCCGCCTTCGTTTTGGAATGTCTTCCATAAAACCGTCTCATAATGTTTAATTAAGAAAAAAAATATCTTTTATATAAAAAATATGTACTTTACATCATATTTATTTTTTTCGAAAGCAGTCAACATCGTTATTGTTTGACATGGCTTTGAAATTGTGATGTTAAAAATTATAATATAGTTGTAAATATATAAATATCGTTTATTTTAGCTGCGTGAATGCGAATTGGGTGCCATAGTGAACCGTGACTTGCAACGTCGTATTCGTCCCGTGTCCGGGGTAACGCTCGAGCGGGCGGTGATGCGAGCAGACGCGCGGCTAGCCGCTCGTCTAGCTCACCTACTCGATACACGAACGAAATTATGGGAGATCGACGAAGACACGCAAGGAAGCGATACAACTAATAACACCAATTCAGCAGAGGTAATGTTAGCTTCTCTGGCTATTGAACGATATAAAGAAAAGAAATAATTAAGTTTATTGACCAATCATATAATAATGGTTAAGATAATATTTCGTTATAGATATCGATATCGTTATAGTATGTTGCCAGATCGGTTGCAACAATAATCTAGTAAAGTGAGACAGTCTAACATGCACTTTTAATCCGCAAATTCCATTTTTGCCCGATTGCTCTAGGCGTGTCCGCCCATAAAAACTATATGTATAGAGTATAACATTAATACGTACGTAAAGTACTTTTTTGATAACATGCTCTGAAAATAGCAACATATGAAAATGGATCGCTTTTTGTTGCAGAACTTCAGTCTGAATTCGAAAAATCCGGTGCTCCACAAAATAACTGAACACCTAATTGAAGAAGCGTCTACCGAAGAAGAAGAACTGCTCGGTCTAGAAGCTTCGTCAGAGTCAGCTGCGCAAGAGCAACCAGATCCTGACCTTATGCGTGTATTGGACAGACTCGTGCTATACTTACGTATTGTACATTCTGTGGACTACTATAACCACTGCGAATACCCATATGAAGATGAGATGCCAAATCGCTGCGGTATAATGCACGCTCGTAGCGGGCCCCCGGCTAATAAGGTGAGCGAGAAGTGTTTCTTGAGTGTTACATATTATAAATAAATTGATGAAAAATATTTTTTAAGTGTTTATATATATGTATATATACTAAAAATTATATTTGTTTACAACAGCCGAGTCAACAAGAAGTGCAAGATTATATAAAAACTTTTGAAGGCAAAATGTCAGCATTTTTACAAGATATGAAACCTCTTTCAGATGAAGAGCTACATAAATTAGGAATTAAGGTTTGTGTTTATATATTTTTTCCATAATATTTTCATTTTTATGATTTCACTTACAACATTAAAATTTTAAATTTGTAGGATGCAGATGCTGAAGTAGAAAAGTTTATTCAATCTAACACACAAGAGTTATCAAAAGACAAATGGCTGTGCCCATTGAGTGGCAAGAAATTTAAAGGTCCTGATTTCATAAGAAAGCACATATTCAACAAACATGCAGAAAAGGTATGTTAATAATTATGTAATAAAAATATAATACATATCAGTAATGGCAATAATTATGTGCGTGAAAATCTTGAGAGCAAACACCTCAGAAACAAGAGATATTCAAAAAAACTAAGTAGTTTAAATTGTTAGCCAGTTAATATATTCAACCAAAATTTTAAGTTAAAAATTGATAATTAATCTATAAAACAGTACCGCATTTAAGATTACTTTCGTGCTTGGTACTGTAATGTTGTTAATATGTGTATAATTCTAATTAGGTGGATGAAGTACGCCGCGAGGTAGCATATTTCAACGCGTACGTGCGTGACGTCAGAAGGCCGCAGCAACAAGCGCCGCCGCCGCGAAACCCACCGGCCGCTGCGCATGCGCCGCCCCCCACTCCGTATGTTATGTTACATTAAAATATGATTTTATTCAGGAATTGGAACTGGTGCATATCAGTCACGTAATGTCTTAATTGACAAACGAATATTGTAAACAATGTACAAATTGAAATTGATTTAACGTTTCCAAATAAAAAAAAGAAAAAATCTACACAAAATGGCATTATGTAGCAAAATGCCCGCATGTGGTATAGCGTAGCAAACAGTGAAGTTTTTAATCTATATACATTCATGAAACGTCTGTAACATTGAATAATTGTAAAGAAAAACATTGTTTTTTTTATTATAAAATTACTACTCCCAGTTTTAGATATTTCGGTTAAATCATGATGATCTTCTACTTGACGGATAAAATGACGCGCCGTGCACATTTAATTTTTGAGTTAAGTTCAATGCCATAACGCTACGTTTTTAAAAACAAGAATAATATACCTGTAAACTGATACACGCCCAGTTACATAAACGCTAATTACGTTTTAAAGACGAACATAAGCTAATGCATATTCTAAATTTTAAAATTTGTATCAGTAACGTCACTTTAAGCCTTTAGTACACCGACACAATCGCAAGGGATTGCGAAACATTTGCTATTATTAACTCTATGAAATAGCTGTGTCCTTTTCAGTACGAGATTGTAGTCAATTGCGAAAAACATCGTTACACAGACGTACATATGTCGCATTCAGGGTTGCCACCGTCACGATATTATGACGTAAAATGATAGATACAATTACCTATGTTCTCATTCGCAATAGTTTCGCAGATTTTTCGCCTTCGCATGCGAATGCGTTGGTGTACTAAGCGCGTTAAACTAATAAAAATGTAATCCAACCAACACCGCTATACCGCGCCTTGGGTAAGCGCGGGGAGACGGGGTATGGGCAGGAAGATCATGGAGTCAAGAGATTCATATTCGCTGATAGATCTTAAGATAATCAAAATACAATATTTTGACACTATAGATATTATATCCATATATTCTATTTTTATTCAGTGCTATTATATTATTAACAAATTTTAGCTTTGAATAAATTTACGCTAAAATTGCAATTTCGGTATTAGTCCAAACCATATTATACAGAGAATAAGCAAACCTATATAATAAATATTACTCCCTTATAACCTCGTATTATTAACCTTTGCTAAGTCTCTGTTAATAATATGAATTTTGTCTAATACTAAGTCTCAGCGTAAATTTACTCTTACGCTAAATCTTGTTTATTAATACCACTTTTATAGTTCAATACGATTTTAGGTAAGCATAAATAAAAATGCCTAAAGCGCGGTACAGCGGTATTGGTCAGACTATAATTAACGTTTGTGCAACTGCTTGTTACACAAAGATAGAAATATATCACTTGCGATGATAAAATTTAGACTGAATAAAGTACGTTAGATGGTACTTATTTGTACAGATACGGCGGTGGTCACGGCGGGGGCCCGGCGGCGGGGCGCGGGTGGGGCTGGGGCGGGTGGGTTCCTCCCGCGCCCTATGCGCCCCGGCATCCGCGCTTCACGCGCCCCAGGTAAGCACGCTTGAAGCTTCATATCGATCGCTATACAGGGTTCGTAATTATCATTATAGTTATTTTTTTGCATAATTATCGTATAATACGGGTGTTGACAGTAAACGAAAATAAACACTTATTTTCTTGTACTATTACCACACTTTTGTTGACATTGTTGGTCGGATTACGCCATGACAGTAGTTGGCGTATTCACGGGAAATTACGGAAATTGAATTATTTTTAGATTTTAACTCCGTACATTAATGATACTTATTTTTTTTTCAATACCGACATTCACAATTGAATTAACTTTTATTTTTATTGTTTTAAACTATAAAAATTATACAAACAAAATAAACAAAAAATTAACTGTAAATATATACATTGGACAAAAAGTGAAATTAAAGTGTTTATAAATGAATATTTGATTTCACATTTGATAGTTCTTTAAAGATGATTCCTTTTTAATAACAAGTCTTAAAATACAAAACGTGTTTTGTAGTATTTTATAATTATCAAGGTATATTTATCAAGATAATTATCACTTCAAATCCTATTATCACTTCAAATCGCTATATTTGTTGTTTTCACTATTATTTCGTAATCGTTATTTATCCCATATAAAGTTTTGATATCTATATTGAAAACCATTTTCAGATATTGATATCAAAACACAGTTGGCTCCTAGTTAATCTTACAAAAAATGCTATACAGGCAGTCCTCGACTTACGTCGTTTCAAGTTACGTCAAACAATGTTTTGACACTGTTCCTCAAGCATACGTCAATTGTTTCGATTTCCGGCATAGGAGAATTCACTTGTCGCGAGGTCAATGACCGTGGGGTTTTAATGTTTATGACATTGTGCAGTCTATCAGTGTTACCAAGACCTCTATGATAGAAAGAAGCGAAGCAATCGAGAATTGATAGTTTCTTTAAGCCAAAAGATTAATTTATTATTTCTCATTGCATATTTTGATTATTAAAGTTTTATTATTATTATTGAAATACCAAAAATAACTAGCAATATCATAAGTAAATTTATAATTATTTTAAGTTTAAATATGATTTTAAGCTTAATTTTTATAATAAAGTACGTATATCCTTTGTTATAAATGTAGTTTTTTTTTGTTTATTTTAAGTCCGCGTGGAACCTAACCCTTGAGTTTTACATGTAAACATATGAAAAAATATGTCCCGACTTACGTCGTTTCGCTTTACTTCGTGTATATTGAGAACCTAACTTACCGTAAGTACGAGGACTGCCTGTACATCAAAACGTATCATGGCTACTTGAAAGCTTACCGCAAAGTAGACCTTATTGCAATTAAAACTAACATGGTTATCTTGCGAGATTCAAACACTCATAGTATTTAATGGATATGGTGAAGAAGATATGATATTCATTTCATCTGTTTCGCACTACGGTTTTCGGCTGCATGCATTTATCAAGTCAATACATTTTTGATATGTAATAATTTTGCATCTTTTGTGTTTGATTTGCGTTTTGTTATAGCGCATAACGCTTTTATTTTATTACCAAATTTTAAGTAATTCATTAAAATTTGGTAATGGATACTATCAAAATTATTAAAGAACCTATAAATGTTTCATTTATTCTGGATTAAGCTTCGAATGCAATATAATCTATGACTATTTAAAATCCACGAAAGACACATTATAACAACCACTTACACTTTTCAGAACACCTCCAAAAATTTTTGTTCTTAAATGTACGAAATATTAAATGTTATCAGAAATTCAATGAATACATTTTGTAATAACGTTATCAAAATTATTCAAAATCTTATACACAATAAAACAAAATACATATAATTATAACAAAGGCCCGCACTATTCTTAAAACAGGCAGTTTTGAACCGAAGACTTCAAAAAAAGGAGGAGGTTATCAATTCGACTGTATTTTTTAAATGTTTGATAACTCATAACTTTATTGGGTGGACCGATTTTGATGATTCTTTCTTTATTTGGAAGCTAGTGCTTGCCTTGTGGTCCCATTTAATTTGGTCCAGATCTGGCAATGGCATCTATGACCATAATACCATATAAGTCTTAAATTTGCATTAAGTATGCGTGATATTTATTACCCCAAAACTCAAAATATCACTAAAATGCCTTAAATAAAAACTTTTTACTAACAAAAATTGGACCCAATTCCAAATTAAAAAGTTAAAAATAATACTTATCTTAAATGCGGTTAAATTCTTTTAAAACCTCAGCCCGACCTCAATGTTTTATAAAAATTAACCGCTCTTAAGATAAGTATTATTTTTCACTTTTTTATTTTTTTTAACTTATATTCTAGTATTAATATTTAATGCTGTCATTTAACTCGAGGGCATTGCAGGTTTTTTAGTAGATAGCTCCCGCCCTTTAACAACTGGGGAGAGTCCTACATACCTGACGTCGCCTGACGAGACGACAGAATACTGCGTAACGCATTATCCTGGGTCACAAAAAAAGAATATAAAAACTAATATAAAATTATGATATGTCACGTATTAAACACTTACACACATTCTAAATTAACCCGTTGTCTCATTGATATCGTCAATTATTTATTTACATTATATATGTCATATATCTCATTAAGTTCTATAAAAGTATTTATCTAAGCAATATCTAAGAATATAGTGAATTATAATAATAGCAGACGTAATTAAATCGAGCACGTTTCTTCCTAATTTCTTAATCTATGGACGCTGCATTTGAAAGCTACGTACATTTTTCACTATTCACTAAATAAAATTTGAATATAAAATAAAATAATATAAAAATATTTGTTACATATCTTTTAATGTAACTTCGTATAATTTATTTTGTGAATTGTGACATGAATGTATCAATGACGCTTTGAAAAGGATTCAATCGCTTTTTGCATGACCTTAACATTTTGTTTTCTCATAGGACTGTGACTACAATGATTCATAAATGCTCACAAGCTCGATTGTCAGGATATAGGTATTCATTTTAAAATACGAGGTCAAGTAAAATTTGCATTAGGAATTTATATTGACAATTCAATTTTTTTGTAGCTAATTTTCATAAAGTAAAATTCTTCTTAGAAATATCTTTGGCAATTGTTCCGATTTACATATTAAAAAAACTTTGTGAATGCAATTATTCATTGGCAGTCGAGTTTAAAACTATAATATTTAATATAATAGTGTCCATATTATAATTTATCAAATTGTTTCTGAGTGGAAGTAATAATTTGCAGGGAAAACGTGGATCGCTCCCGGCCTATTATTACATACAACGATCTTGACTTCCCGGAAAGTGGTGATATTTTTTAAATTGTGACACCTCATTGACTACACCTATTTTTTTTATAGTAATTTTTCTGTAAAGCATTCCATCATTGTCATTATTTTACACTTTAACTTATAACTCATTGTGAATGTACATAATGCGTTAAAATAAACGATGAGATTAAAATAAATCATAAAGCTTGCATAATATTGTATAACAGTGTCATTTCACTACAATAATTACTTTGTTAATTGTAAATGTAACTGATAGAAGTACATGAAGAAGGTTAGTACCAATTAATATTATAAGACTTTTAGTTATTTTAAATATTTCTTGAAATATACGAATATTGTATGCAGAACGTATATCTGTGTTTAATTATAAACTTATGGTTCTCCTTTTGGTAATGTGTTGTAACTTTTAGAGATTATCTTTTTTACTCAGTATAACTTTGTATACCGATGTCTTGCAACTCATTCGGTTTAAAATTGTATGAAATTGTCAATCTTCTATGTATAAAATGTTATGTATTTTGAAAGTAAATACTTCTAAAATTCTATTTAATTTGTCTATGTTTGTGAGATTTTTATAAGTATATAAAGATGTCGTTAATGAGTACACTTTACGTACAGTATGTTTTTGAAATGTCATACAAAATTAATAGCAATACTAATTACAGTGTCATCTTGTAAAATATAGAATAAATTGTCCAGAAAAACTACACATACCATCGTTTCCTTCTAACATCCTGTTTTCTCATATTTATTTTAAGCTGATATATAAGTGACTGACACAACGGGAAGCCGAGATTATTGCCAAAATGTTACGGTCAAAATATAATGCATTTGAAGTAGTGCGAGTGGATTTCTTGATAGTTTGATGAAGGTATACGTATCTGTTAACTGTGGTGTTGATTGTTAAAGGGGCGGAGGCGCCGAGTTCCGCGCTGTCATACACTACCGCGACTTGGACGCCCCGCGCGAACCAGACGAATTCGTATAGTGGGACCAACGACTTGCCAAAGGACTCGCATAAAGTCATTTTATGTATTATCGCTAACTGTAAATATTATTTAGTATACCGTGTTTACAGTAGCTAATAGGTTTTTACAATATGTCACAAAAGCTTAGGTGAATGTTAGTTTGAAATATATAACTTACGTGAATATAATATCTTTTACTGATATTTTAATATACCCTCAGAATATAAATAGAGAAAAAAATAATAATGAGCTGTTAAACGCTGATGTAGAGTTGGACAGAATAAGCGCGGTTGGATTTGTTTGGTATTAATAGAAGGCTAACGATTATGTAATGCCTTCCACGAAATTTCTATAAACCAACCACTGCCTGTGAACAGGAAAACACTTATATCGAAAAGGTGAAACTGCCTCTGAGTGGAGGTTTATTTTATTGAATTGTACAAGTACCGGACCTTGACTTCTAAAAACGACTGAATCTTAATAATATACTTATTGTTATGTTAATTCCATTAGTCAAACTTTGCAATTACGGTCTTCTCTTAAATCGTCAAAATCTAATTTAGTCGTGAGTAACGTCAAAGCTTGTTTATAGGACAATTATTTTGTTTAATGTCTTGTTGAGATGTATGAAGACTAGTTTATTGTAGGTTGGTATGCGTATATGACCATGGCGACGTCACCCGGATATGCGCGTATGCATGTTGCGGTCTCACGAGTGGCAGGCAACCTCTGTTCCTTCTTGGATCTTTGTCACGTTCTTACGTTATTCATCAGATGACAAATTATCTATACATAGCTTTACCGCAGTGTTGCCGTCGGGCAATTTATTTTAAATAACACATCGATTGGAAGTTTTTATCCAATTTAATGTTATGATACGGATGCTTTTAATATGTTTTTATCTTATTGAAGCTGCGATGTTTTCCTCAGAAAATTTTTCTTTCCTTATTGTTACAAACTTTAATGTCTTTGATTTCCAATGACTTTTTTTTATAGTGAGACGAAGTAGTGAAACTCATTAGACGAATATTAATTATATATTATCGTATTTTAAATAAAGTAAAAAAAGTCGTTTTTTATGAGAAGGAAGAAATACCTATTTATATTACATTATAAACAGGTATTTATAAATATCACACGGAAATATGAAAATAGAAATATGAAGGCAAATATAAGACAGCAAAAACGAAGGTACCGCAACTCTCAGACCGGAGCCAATGTACGAAAGTTAAATTTGTATATTGACACCACCGGCGCTCTTCCATGTAACCAAAGCCTGGCTGAGTAATCACTCAGAGCTTTATAGTAGGAGAGCCCACGATCTTAAAGACCTGTTGGATTGCGAAGCTTAGATGATAAAAAGAAAAAAAATACATATGATATTCCAAAAATTAAAAAAAAACTTGCATGATCATACTCGAGCCCGTACACGTACTACGTACTTGAAAAAGAAAAGAAATTTTATCGAGCGCATCAGATTTTCGAATACTCTTATATCTGATGATTTGGATGTGACGCAAACTCTCAGCCATTTTAAGAATGCAAAAAAATCGTCATTTTGGAATACTCAAGTGCATCAGATTAAGACGTGCTGTTCTGACAATTATCTGGAGGGGTTCGTAATCTGCCAATTTTTTAAAAATTATTGAACTTTATTAATTGTTTGAAAAAGTCAGGAAATAACATGGAAATGAAAAAAGTGTACGTGTAGCGTTTCGTTGTAAACAAGGAACCCTTATAGTTTCGTTATGTCCGTTTGTTCGTCCGTCCGTCCATCCGAGGTTTAGCTCAAAAACTGTACTAGAAAATTGTAATTTGGCATGAATACTTAACAGAGTACAAGGTATCACTGTATATTAATCTGCCGCGCTTAAGTAAATCCTGAAATCCCCTCTTAGGCTCCCCTACTATTGTTTAGACACATTCAAAACTTCAGCTAGGCAGTAGAACCGCAGGACTCTAAACTGGAACTTCTCATGTCATTGTCTTGATTCCGGCATGTGAGCTACTCAACTACGAATGGATACAGAATACTATAAGTGGGTAAATATACGAAAATTATTGACACACTACACTTGAATAGTCCAAACATTTTTTCCTTTCATTAAAGCCCACTACTGCTTTGTTACCACGTAGCTTCTTAAAGATTTTAATATGTATTTTTATTTCCCTATCCCTGTATCATCGAAACGATAATGACTCGTAAAGTATTGATTAATTCGTTTGCATCTTGTTTAATGAAGGTATTTAAATAAGCTATTAAAATATTTCGATTAGCAATTATACTTGAGTGACGTAAAATTATAATACCTACAAATAAACATCACCTTTATTAAGCTTGATAATGTTTTTGATATTCATGATAATTTACGGAAATAGACCCAAAAACTCATCATTCTTTTTTAGGTTCCACTATAATTTAACGCTGATTATAGTGCAAATAAAAGGTTCCCTTCACCTGGCAGTATCTCGATGATCCGAAACTTATTTGGTAAATAAATATATTTGGCATAATATTTATAAAAATGTTTGTAAGGCATAAAAAACGCAGCAGCGGCCAGCGAACACCATTTACTACCTACATCGTATCTTAAAAAATGTGAGTATATTCTGGTAGTGAGCTTTCTGCGATATGAAGATATGCTTTTCTCTGCTCTGCATAATAACTTTATGTATGAAATGAAAAGTTCTACCATAAAGGTGGATTCGCAAATAATAAGTCTCGTAATATGCACGGCCCTAATTAATTTGGAGTATTTTCAAATTCTCATAGTGATTAAACGAAATGGAGTATTTGTCTATGAAAATTAGGACTGACAAATTAAGAAATCTTTGAAGTTCGTTCGATACCTTTTAAATACAATGTAGTTATCGAAGTCCATAGTCGCCGGAAAGTTCCATACACACTATACATACCCTGTTGTTTTCCAGGTAACAGGGACAGTGGCCTAGTGCATATAAGCCACTACCATCGACTACCTTTTTTTTCTATGAAGAAAGGAAATTTTTCACTTTTAATAATTTTAAATAACATTGTACACATTATTGGATATAAAAAATAAAAGTAGCTAAAGCCCTTACAGTTTCAAATAATATGTTAGGAACAAAGTTTCTTTTACATTTTATATAAAAATTCAAAACATTTTTTTGATAAAGTTGATTTACATTTAACTAAAAATCCCCATATTTATATATTTCCGTCATTGCTATAGAAATTTTGGAGCTTCTATAAAAACTGCGACAAATGGTTTTGGCAGTCTTTGCGTGATATTAACCTGACACTTCCTAAAGAATTCTGAAGAGACGGAAACAGGTGAAAAATCTGAAGGTCAGAAATATAAGGCGGATGCATTAACAACACCTCCCAGCCAAAGTTCATTTTTGCTGAGTGGCAAAAGATATGTGAGGTCTAGCGTTATCATGATGAAAAACCACATCCTTTCTATTGATTTATTCTGACCGCTTTCTTTCAACTTCCTGCTTTAATCTCATTTGTTCGCAGTAGAGTTCAGAATCGATGGTCCTGCCTTGCAGTAACAGCTCTTAATGAATTATATCCTTCCAGTTCCACACACACATCGTCACCTTGTTGTCATCGTTGACTACAACTTTTTCGCACATCCTTGCCGTACGTGATCTATTTTTCATCACCAGTTATCGGCTTTTTTTCGCGGCTAGCGTTGCATTATTACTTTTTTAAATAAAATTTTAAAATATACCTTATTTATTCATTAGATTCACTCATTTAGATAGTAAGAAAAACAAATGAATATCACACAATTTCCTAATTTGAACTCAGAGTTATCTTCTTTTAAATTTAAACTTGTTAACGATGAAACCAACCAGATAAAAATGGTATAGCCAGAAAGATTTTATTACAATTTACCATAATGGATAGTCACAATCCAAATTAATTGAAAATAGATAAGGACGGCCAGCCTTATTAAATGCCTCATCAGTTCAGTACTTCGTAAGCCGGTTTTAGTGTTGTCTCGACATCTCTTAGATTCTGCGTTCGATTCCCGGTCGAGACATTGAAGCAATAATATAAATTAATATGAAATATATTTCTGCTCTCGTATCGTTCAGTCTATGTAATTATGAACATATTTGTCTCCCAAAGTGCAAGCATAGCAACTGGTAAGAATCACAAAAATACAAATTAAAGAAGCTCGAACAAAACAAAGGGGGAGACCTATGTTCAGCAGTGGTCGTCTTCCGGCTGATGATGATGATGATGACGATGAACAAAACATTCGATTTTGCCCGTGTAGCAAAACCCTTTTTTTTCTTTCTATGAACTTTCTTTGATATGATTATCAAGTTAATTTTAACGTATAAGGCCTTTTTATATACATAGCAACCAATTTGAAGCGATAGCTTCAACCTTATTAAATAAAGCGACGAGTGTTATATAAAGTTCAATTAGATAATTGCGCAACAGATCAGTCAGTTGGATTTTATTGTATGATTAGCTTATTATCATATAGGCTAAACTTAGAGTGACCGAGGAACCTCCATATCTGTTTTTTCTATTGTATATTTATTTATAGAATCGCGTCACTTTTACACAATTTCTAATTATTTATTCATAGGCGAGGGTTACTAACCGTGAAGAATTCAATTTTTTTCTAATATCTGAGGAATTACCATTCAAAATACCTATCTAGCTGTCACTTACAGAACCGGCAACAAGAGTCCGCGTGTTTCCCCACGCATATCTAAGCACTGCTACATTATTACCAATCGCGGTAAATTTTGAGAATCTCGAGTTCAATATTACAATGCGCCGCGCGCTTCAGAATATTATAAATATTATAACAGCGTAAGTATATGGGAAACAACCTACGCGTGTACAGCCTCTGATTCGCGGTAAACGCCGACAGGTTTTTTGTTCTATTACGGGTCAAGTTGCTATTTGTGTATAGGTTTATAAAGACAGTGAACAGTATTGTAACAGCATTGTGTTTCGGGAGCTTCGCAAATATGCAGCTCGTGGTATTGTGTGTTGGTGTATTTGCTCTATCGTGCTTCGTAACCGCAACCCCTCACGGATATGGCGTGAAAAGTGGCGCTGCAGTGAAAGGTTTATATTTTTCCGATTTAATTAATGATAATTTTCTCATATAATGTCAAAGAAGCTAAATGTAATTATAATAGTCTTATTCAAGCGACACTTAATAATAGTGATCTTTACGCTAATTAAATGTGAGTATTTTTTTCTTTGCTATAACTAAATAATGAATAAATATGCTAGGTATACATCTATACTTTAAAAACCGAGCGATAAATTTGGTGAATATGTTTACTCATAATAAAGAAAAACTTTACTAAGCACTAGTTTGTCTATTTCAATCAAAACGATTTTATAATCAATTTTTAAAATAAAATGATGTCCTTTATAAGTATAGGTATTAAGTAAAAATTTACATAAAACAATCAAAGATTTTATCATAAATTTGATCAAAAGGGCAATTAGCTCTATTCGCATTGGCAAAAAGATTCTCAGTTACATACTATCAAGTACTTATAAGCATACATAACAAGTCTCATTAGCATAATAACTTTAACGAGTTTTTTTTTTAATATAAATTGTAGCATGAAGGTCTTTAAAAGTTTTTTGTTATATTAATATATGAGTAATATTTTTTTTTGTTTATAGCTGATGCTGGTGCCGAAGCCGGTGCTTTTGGTGAGGTACCACTTGTTATACCGGCTGGAACTGGCTTCTCTGGCAGTTTTACAAAGTCGTCATCATCCAGCTCTTCTTCGTCCAGCGCCAGCTCTAGTTCTAGCTCTTTCACCTATTCTGGGTCCAGTTATCCTGGAATTAGTAAAGGATGCTCTACCGGCGTTTGTCAAAATAGTGGAACTTACGATAAAAATAGTGAAACGATAAATGGTAACCAAAACAATAATTACAACCACGCCTCTCCAGTAAGTGTGGGTTTAGCCGGTCATGCAGGTGCCAATGCAGGTTCACAGTTAAGCCTCGGAGGCAATAATCCCTCGTGCACAGGAAGTGATTGTACCCAGAAAGGAGGAGATTGTAAAGGCCCTAACTGCGAAGGCGTTGCTGCTGGTAGTAATTGTAAAACTGGTCAATGTGATGACGATAAGGATAATGATAACGGATGTAAATCTGGTCAGTGCGGAGCATCTGGAGAATCAGGAATAAAACCTACGAATTTTAATATGGATGAAGACGATACTTATAATAATAATAAATGTCAATCAGGGCAATGTAAGATATCTCCGGGTTGTGTCGGAGGACAATGTGCAGAATCTTCAACTTATGGAAACACGCCATCGATATCTCAACATGAACATTCTGAAGATACGTCAAAAGGTTCGGCGTCTACCTCTTCAAACGTTGCGAGTACACATTCGAGTTACAATCCAGTGCAAAGCGCACCTTCTAATAGTTACGATTCTGAAAAGTGTACTTCCGGACATTGTAAATATTCTTTAACCCACGACGCTACAAATCCTAAACCAGACAATGAAGATATTGATGTAAACATAGCAATGAATAAAAAGTCAAGTTATCAGAATAATCATCATGAAAATGCCGCAAGTAAAAGTAAAATTCCTTCTAATTGTGCTTTCGGAAATTGTGCATCCAATCCTCCTTTAAGTACTTCATATGGCACTCATCCACATTCTTCGTATAATTTAGATAAATCAAAATGCACATCTCCTGATTGTAATAATGATGCTTACAATCATGCTTCAGCTGCAGGTGGTTCTTCAGTTCCAGCATATAACCAACCTTCAACATATTTAACAACGCCTAATAAAGGATCATCTTGTACATCACCAGACTGCAAACCAACTAGTGTTGTTCCTGAATACCATCCAACCGGAATCGTTCCAACATCCAGCTCTCAATCCACCATACCATCTAATAATAACAAACATTTTGATTGTACTGGAGGACATTGTGCAGATAATGCACCAAATCCACCAAATTCCTACATTACTCCGTCATATCTAAATACTCCGGTTCCTAGTACAGATTCTGGACCATACAATCATAAATGTACTTCACCTAACTGTGCTACGAGTCCTCAAAATCAAAGTCCACATAATCATAACGTTATCCAAACTCCTGTTCCAAGTTTTGTATCGAGTTCAAAACCTTTATTTCCTACACAAATACCATTTTCTCCTGCTATAAATAACCCTTCTCAAAATGTACCACCGAGTCAAGAACAACCCTACCCATCATTTGTACCATTAACTCCTCCAAGTTCGCAGCCTTGTGGTTATAATGGTTGTCACGGCAGTGTTAGCACAAAGCCTCATTATGGAAGCAATACTGTTCCACAGTCCAACTTTGTTCAATCTGGATCACCGTCTTCTTCTTCTATTTCAAGCTATCCATCCTCAGCACCAAGTATTGGGACGTCACATGGAATTCCATCGTTAAATAAACCATCACATAAAAATGATAAACCAATATACACAGGTGGTTTTGGAGGCCCAGTGGGTCTACTCAAACCAAATGACTACAGTTTACCAAGTACCATACCGCTACCTAAACCTGTAGTGGAGCAACAACCTTCAATTTCTTGCGCAACTGGTAATTGTAATAATGCTCCCAATCATGGACATATAAATAATGTAAACGCAAATGCTGCATCAACGATAGGTAGTTTTGGAGGACCACCAGGATTACTGAAACCAAACGATTACAGTTTACCTAGTGCTGTACCTATAAATAACCCAGTAACCGGACACCATCATTCAGTGTCTTGCACATCTGGAAATTGCCATAATATACCGAATCATGGACATATTAATAATGCAAACGCAAATGCCGCATCAGCAGTAGGTAGTTTTGCAGGTTCATCTGGAACGTTGACACCTAACGATAACAGTATACCAAGTACTGTTCCCCTAAACAACCCAACAGGTGGGCACCATCACTCCGTACCATGCTCAACTGGAAAATGTAATGATGCTCCCAATCATGGAAATGTAAATAATGGGAACGCAAACGCTGCATCAGCAGTAGGTAGTTTTGGAGGTCCATCTGGATTATTGAAACCGAACGATTACAGTGTACCCAGTACTTTACCCCCAAATAATCCCATAGGTGGCCACCAATACTCCGGGCCATGCTCAACTGGAAATTGTAATAATGCTCCCAATCATGGACATATCAATAATGGAAACACAAATGCTGCATCAGCAGTAGGTAGTTTTGGAGGTTCCTCTGGACTGTTGAAACCGAATGATTATACTTTACCCAGTACTGTGCCCCTCAATAACCCAACAGATGGGCATCATCATTCCGGGCCATGCTCAACTGGAAATTGTAATAATGTTCCCAATCATGGACATACCAATAATGGAAACGCAAATGCTGCATCAGCAGTAGGTAGTTTTGGAGGTCCCTCTGGACTGTTGAAACCGAATGATTATACTTTACCCAGTACTGTACACCTCAATAACCCAACAGATGCGCATCATCATTCCGTGCCATGCTCAACTGGAAATTGCAACAATAAACCCAATCATGGTCATATAAATAATGGAAACATAAATGCTGTATCAGCAGTAGGTAGTTTTGGAGGTCCACCAGGATTATTGAAACCGAATGATTATAGTGTGCCCAGTAATACGCCATTAAATAAACCAGCTTCTGGACATCATCACTCTGTAACATGTTCAACAGGAAATTGCAACAATGATCACGTATCAATTAATAATGGAAATTCCAATACAATACCAGCAACACATAATACAATATGTGCAACAGGTAAGTGTAGTTCTCCAAATGGAAGTGGAACTCATATTGTTAACGGTGCACATGCTTCAGCAGGCGCCGCGGCCTCTGCAAATGCAATTGCTTATACGGGTGGATTTGGAGGTCCTCCTGGTTTTCTGAAACCTTATGACGGTGGAAATTTCAAAAGTACACTTGTTAGTTTACACGGCAAAAGTGCACTTCCAAGTACTAATTTAGGTGACAATTCAGCCTATGGTGCTCATTATACGTACAATCAAGGAACTGGAAGTGTCTCTGGAGCATTTGCCTCAGCGGGAGCTAGCGCCGGAGCATATGGTGGTCATTCCGGTCATTATAATAATGATGACGGCAGTGGAAATAAAACAGGACGTGGTTGCGGTGGTGGCTGCTCTGAAGGTGATAGTGGATCACGAGGCAGTGGAGTAAATTCATATTTAGATTCGGGCACTTTCGGCTTAAGTGCAGCAAAGGCAGGAGCTGTTAGTGGAGCCCACTCCGGCTATGGAGGTAGCTTTGCGAGCAGTTCAGCAAGTGCTCATGCTGGGGCTTCCGTAAAAGGTTAGTTGATATTCAGTTTCAGTTTTACATAACTTTTTAATTAAATCATCTTAACAATACTTTAAAGAAGTAAATAAATATTTAGACGTCACATACATTGCACAGATCCCAAATGAATTCGATAAAACACTTGTATTATGGAATCGAGTCTGGATGTTATGAATGTAACACAACATCCAGAGTCGAAACAATATAGTAAAGCTCATTCTCTACATTAACCTAACCAGGAATCTAAACCCGGGACTTCAGAGATGGCGCCTTGAAGCTGACGTACGAGTCACTTTGCCATAGTGGTTATATATTAAATATGTATCTATACTAATATTACAAAGAGGAAAGATTTGATTGTTTGTTTGCATCTAATAGTATACCAATTATAAAAATTCTAGAATAAATTAGAAGCTACATCATATGCGAACAGCTAGCTACATCACGATTCACGATATAGTATAAAACAAAGTCGCTTTCTCTGTTCCTATATCCCTCTGTATGCTTAAATCTTTAAAACTACGCAGCGGATTTTGATGCGGTTTTTTTCATAGATAGGGTGATACAAAAGGAAGGTTTTATATATAATACAAGACTACGCGGGCGAACAGCTGGCGGAAAGCTAGTTACAATTTAAAAATAGGATGTATTTCAGTCTTTCTCTATAATGTCTTTATATTTAAAAAAATGGGATTAGCGCATATTAAAAATTTATAAAAGTCGTAACTGAATAGCATATGACTTCATGAAAAATTATTATGCATCAATTATGAAGACAGCAAAAATCTTGGTTTAGGCTACTTTTGAGCCAATCTCAACTAATTATTTAATGTTGGTTTTGTGTGAATCTTTAACAATAAAGATAATTAAAATTACTGTTAATACAAAAAAATATCTAAGAAAAAATATAGAGCTCGTTTTTCTGATCACGTATATGTCTGTACACTTAAATCACTTTGTCTAAAACGAGTTATCGCACTTATCGTAAGGATGACAGAATTGATGCAAACATTTATTGTTACAGGTTATGGTCGGAAATGAAATCTAAATCAAAAGGAATACGAATACGATTATTTAAAACGAATGTTCAAGCCCACGGACGTTTAAAAGACTTATAAGTTATAATAATTTATACGAATGTGATATCTGTCTTATAAAAATGTACTTTATAAAAATATTTTAGAAATTATCTTTATACGTTTAGATTAATCAAAATAGCAACGACTCTGAATGAGCTTTTAGTATAAAAAATAAATGCTATTTAAAATCATACACATCTTTGTTTCTGTTCCTATCCAAATTAAATGAACTAATAGAGCCTTTTGAGTACAACGTAGGTGTAAATAAATGTTATTTATAACTGTTGATTATGGTTATTATAAGAAAACAAAGCGGTTACAATGATTACTCTCGTTATATCTAACGAGATAACCTTCTAAGGACCTAAGTAGGCAGGCTATCCACAAAACGATCGTAAATCATTTGGATCGAGTCATATATCTGCTGATACGATCATCCACTCATCCATTGTTCACGAGTTTCATGACCACATAAAGATAAGTTCACACCAGTACCATCAAAATCAGCGACTGAATCGAGAACGAGATAGCCGAATCTTTGCCTCATCTGACTTTTAATACAATCCAATGTTAAAATCTTTTTAACTTTAAATTTATTTAAGTTTAAGTTTCATAGTGTTATTGAATTATTGTTTCATGATGCGTTTGTATTGCATCTTAGTAATGACATTTTAAGAGCGCGCTTGAAGGTGAAGAGAAAATGAGCCTAAAGGCCAGCCAATGAGACAGCATGACATATTGCGCGAAAAATGCCTCAAAAAAAGTTATATCCAATTAATATATTAAAACCATTACGTTTATTGTAAGGTCTCACTTGTGTCCCGGGAATTAAGTTACGCAAACCTTTACCGATTTTCATTATTAAAAAAGAAGAATATAATTACGAGGTAAAAATAAACGTGTAGGGTAAGTAATCTAATTTTATTGATATTATTTAATTAAAAGATTACTTTAATTGTCGAAATATGAGCAATATTTTCTTGGAACCCCAACACATGCCCTATGGTTTCGCTCTTTGAGAATCACTCCCTTAGAATATTAGAGGTGGCTCGAATTGTTTTATCGTCAAGATAAAATTATAAATATAATTTAAGCCCACTGCATTACAAATAGGTATAATGTAGGGTAATCATTTTTTTGGGTTATCAAACACTTTGAAACTTTTTGGTTTGGTTTGTTTTATTTACAAAGGATTAGAGAAAGAGTCACCTTAGTATCAAGTTAACCGAGCTAGTATGCTCTAAGCTTTAGGTGAGTAGATGATCGTAAGTAAAATATTAATAATTCATAGACACTTGATCGCGTCTATTTGAATTTATTATTAATATATTCTTAATTGTCTTGATATGTAATACATTTTTTGTGCTTCACCGATGATGTTACTTTATGATGATGATGAAAATTCTCAAACAACAACAATGACAAAAACATTAAGTAAGATTATGTGACATATAAAATATTTATTATATAAATGTTTATATACATCAGTGTTATTTAGTTATAAAAACAGCCTTGAACTCGTCGGTGACTTCAGCGCTATCAATTCAATCAAATAAAACTACATCAACAGGTAATAAAGGGTTCATTTAATTGAAGCACTACTTTATTTTACACCTTAGCACATTGTTTTAATGTTTAAAATCAATCAAATTAGTAATTTTAAATATTGAGGTAACTAAATGTACCGCTGTTTGAACTTACTTAATGTGAGATGATCCTTGGGAAATTAAATACAAGTCAAGTAAATTAAAAACCTCTCCTGAACATCCTTACCTTAATCACAACTCAAAAGAATTCAACAGATGCAACAAAATCCGAAGTATGTAATAGATAATAACAAAATATATTATATTTGATAAATTTTGTTCTCACAGTATTTTTTTTTCTTAAACAAAATTGTTTTAAACACGAAAGAGATTCGAACCCATAAGGGATAATATAACCCAATATTTTGTCAAAAAATAGATCCGACTTCAGACTTTTAAAAAGTGAGAAATAATACTTATTTTAAAAGCATTTAAAAGTGACTTATTCAAGAAACTGCTGTTGCGGTTACTATTGCGGTTGGGCGGAGGTTTATAGCAAAAATATGATTTCATGCTTTCTAATGATATTGATTTTTTTGTATAATAGATAACACTAAAAATAATAAATATCTACTTAGAACATATGTCAACATAGTGAAGAGGAAAGGGGAAAGGAGTTTTTATTTATTTGCTCGACAAAATTCAAGAAGAAATCGATGATCATATTTACTTCCTTACATAAAAAATATAGATAATAATGTGCGAGCATTATGAAAAATGCCCAGAACTATCAGGCTAAGTAATTGATTTCTATCTTAACTTCATTATTTATAACATTATATGGCCATTATTATATTGCTACATGAAAATTGGGTCATTTGATAATCAAGCTAAAAACACGGTGTGTGAAGGGAAGAAAGCGTGATACGGTTTATCTAATAATGAATCTGATTACATATATTTCAGTTTATTTTATGTTTTATAATAATATGTCAAAACTTCTATAAAATATACAAAAGATATGTTACACACAATTTTTTTTCTCACATAAAATTTTGTGTTATTTCTAGAACTCATCGTTACCAACTGTATGATTAGTATGATTTTTTAAATGTTGTATTTGTTAAGTCGATTTTGGTTTGTTCACAGTTAACCTAACACGCTCATCCTCATGCTCAGAGGGAAAATATCAAATTATCAGTGTTTGAAAAGGGAATTGACAAAATGTTGTTGGTCTAAAAGTTGTGCGGCCTAGTGAAAGAGTGGACAAATGATAATTTTTTTGTCATAATAATAATCAGCTTAACAATAATTCTACCAAATGAAATATGGTCACACAAAAAATTCCTAATTGTTAATTGTCAAAGTGAAACTTATATGAAACATCTCTATTATCTCGTTATTATCACAACTCATCATAAAATCACATTTATGTCCTCGGGCTAAGTCGTGGTCAAGAGTGAGCCGATTATCAATAAATAATAAAATAAAAAGGAATAATTACTAATGAAATATGTTTGTATTACTCTGCCAAACAAAACACAATACAAAAGGTAATGGACAATATTTACAATACCTGGGGTTATTTGAATAATTATTATGAAATGAAATATTGGGTAATTTTCATAATGACTAGGCAGTATGTAAAATGCGCAATTTATCCATAACATACATACCCATTGCGTATTAAAAATCCTCCGTTCGGATTTTGAATGAATGCAAAACACGCAATCTTTTGTTTTTTTGCTGATATAAGCATGTTTCTAAATATTTAGATGATATTTGATGAAAAGAACATTTTGTTCTGTTATAAACATATCACCTCCCCCTTTTCGATTTTGAATTCGATTAAAAAGGTTTCGAATCCCATTTCGGGCACGTGAGACTGATAATTTTTGAAGATAAAAAGTATTTGAGCACTTAATTTCTCAAGAAATGTAGTTATTATTTACATTTATTAAGTAATTCTTAATAAACTCACAATGATATGTAAAGGCATATGATATGTTTTGACAGTACAATTTAAAGCTTACATTATTGTATACCCAAACAACCAGACAATTTATGTGGGTAGGATTAACGCATTCGACCTTCGTAGAGATTACTCAGTGTTATTCAATTGTTATTTAAAATACATTTATTGCTCACTACTTATTTCAAATGCTAAAATGTTTTTACTTAAATCGGATGCTTGATATTAAATAACCTTCGCCCAGGCTTTGATAGCAATCTCGAAGTCGGTTTTATAGATTTCAATTAATTTAAAATAGTTTCCTTAAATTCTTCTTTTATAAAACAACCTGAGTTTATACTTAAATATTTACTTAAACGAGTAGATAAACTGCAAGCACTTAGCGAATAAATTTTAATTTGTAGTGTGCAGAACGTGTAGTGCAGAACTTTTACTGCTTTTATCGTTTCTTATTATAGCTGTATGAATTATAAAACGGACATGTGTTCTTCTACATAAAGTACTTTAAACATTACTATAGGTACATACGCACTGAGCTTATAAAATTGTATTAATATAGTTCCCTTATTGTGGCAGCATCCGGAACACATATGATAAGGTCAATGCGCTAAAGATAGCAACCTCGCCTGCTCAGGTTTCAACGCAAAAGCAAAAATAAATAAAAACAAAAAATACAAACTGGCAAACAGCTAGTGATAATAAATAATTCGAGGAGATGCTCACTAAGTCCTTGTTGAATCATCATTAAAAACCCGATTTTCATATTCTATGCGTGCTTAAATAAAAATTTAATAAACACCTTATCGAATTGCAAATATTTTGATGATATCATAGCTAGGATAATATTATTAACGAGTTTAATTGATCGTAGCCATATGCTTTTATAAATTTATGTCCACGTTATTGATATTATTCCACTAGTTTCATTCCTATTTCTTAAATTCTAAATAATTGAGCAAATATCTAATTTAAAATAGTTTAACATAGAATAACACACCTAGGTAATTTACCATAGTGAATGCATAAACCAAACATAAATTAAGTCACTAGTAGTAAACAAATATTTATATCATCAGAGGTGGTATATCACTGGTACAGCATTGGTATTCTTTAAAACACAGCTTAAGTGGTTTGATCAAATAACACATATTTTAAAAGGTAATAAATTCGACCCTATATTTTTAACAGAATAGCAAAGCAAAATTGGTCGCAATTGAAGAAATTCTTAAATAAAATATTAAATACCTATTAGACAACATCACGTACAGTGCAGAGCTTTCAAATGCAGGTAATTTTAGCACTTTTACTATGTAAATCTGCAATAACGAAGGAACCATAATATCCAGAACCGAAAACACTATAGAAAATTTCGTTATCTATATATTAACCCAATCAAAAATCAAACTTGAGAACTCAGAGATGACGATATTTGAAACCGGCGTACGAGCCGCCAGGGAAGTTGTCGTTCGAATAAAATCAGGTAAGTAAATATTACTCAAACATTAGGTAATGGCATGAAAATGAAAAACAACATAAAAATATAAAAAAATAATATAAACTATCAAAAATATAGACAACAAAGAATTATTGCGGAATAAATTAGATGAATTTGGGCTCTGACGTGTCTTATGCCAATTGCCAAGCAGGACGAAGAAAAATATTCAAAACATAAATATTACAATTATT